AAAGTGACATGGTATTGTCTAACATTCAGCCATGGGGACAAAAAAAAAACAATAGTTTAACAAAATTTCAATGGTTATCAATGATTTGGTTTTGGTCTAAATTCTGATCGTATTGATTCAAAATTTATATTTCTATACTGAACAAACGGTCTATCTTATTTCAACCCTAGCCCTGACACTGCCAGTTACAAACCTAGATATATACTTAATATAATATTTAAAATAAAGAAAGGTTGAAAATCTGTCAATATTAGTTGAATTATCATATTTATTAAAGTATGTATTGTTTATGACACTCTATTGACAATTGTCATCTTTGAAATCTATCTTTATCATAGGTACGCTTATAACCCAGTTTAAACTCTTACTGAACTAGGCAGAGATAATTTCTCTGACGTTGTCAGTCCTCATTAGCCCAATATGCAGAAAAGTGAACTGTATGGCGATTCATCATTAGCCCCGTGCATGTTAAAGATCCCTCGACAGTTACTGGAAATATCAAGAATATGCCAAAACTCCTTGACAAAATCTCCATTATTGCTTATTGTTTTTATATTGGCCAAACTGGAGCAGACAAGTGGGACATGAACTTCATTTCATTTCTAAAATATTGATAAGAAGGTATTTAACAATATTTGGAAAAGTATGATTTAGTATATAAGTAACTAATAAATCTATAGGATATAAAAGAGAAACACTATCTTGAGTAAAGTTATATGTCATTATTAGATGTCATATCACTAAGGATTAATCTACTCCCAATATACTATCAATACGTTCTATGAACTATTCTTTATAAACTACCACCAGATGAAAAGTGACCTGTTTCTTCGAGAACTTGCAGAAAAAAACCCTCTCATACACTGTCTCTTGATACTTTTCGTTATCAACAAGAACTGACCCCATGTAATGCAAGTTAGGGACATTCGACAGAAAATATTCAAATATGTGTTGCTTTTACTAAAACAATATGAAAGATGTCGCTTCAGACAAGTAGTTGTTTGGATTGACGCATTTACTTCCACTATCACTGGTACAACCTTTGCAGACATCCACAATGATCCCGGAGAACACAGTATCAATCAATCCATTAGGAAAGTTGATGCCAGTTTCGATATAATTTCATATTGACCCTGAGGAGTTCCATTGACGTTTTGAAAAGTACCCGAGGCAGCGACTTGTAAGTTTGATTTACAGATCTGGCGTTGTACCAAGAAGAACTTCAACAACCGATAACACAACAAGTGCAATGAACAATTTGAACCTAAGCATACCCATCTATCGACAAAATTTCCTAAATCCTAGTTACAATCAAGTATTTTTAAACAGACAACCTCCTTTTCTGTACCAGTGCATGAACTACTCTGTACTTGATAGTTGCTAGGCTACATCAATGTTCCGTGGGTTTTTATTCGTCTTACAAAAGTAAGAAATCAAATCAGTTCTCTGTCTGTGCTTCATTTTTCTCGAATTTAGGTCATCCATACTACCGTGTGTGCCAAGACTATGCGGTCTGAAATCAAAGTTTTTTAGGCAGTTGGAAATTATTGAATCCAGGGTACTGACTGTTACGTTGTTCGGATGAGACAAAAGTCGAACTCCATGTGTGCCAAGACTGTGTCGGCTAAAATGTCCTTGTCCTGCAAGGAGAGGCTAATGTTGTGGTCTGACAAACTTTTCTCATTGGCACGATTTTGGGCAGAAAAGTAGGACGTAAAACTCCATTCCATTTGAGTTCATTCGGATCAAGGTCATTGATTATCCTTAGGTTCACTTGGATCAAAGTTACCGTTTGCGCTTAATTTCTCACGACGACCCCAAGGACTTGGCCAGACACCCCATTAAAATTTGGTATTGAATATAAAACTAGGTGTGTTTGTATGTATGCTGTATATTTATCAACTATAAGTATATATAAACAATGATAATAAATCAATTGAGTTCGTGTACTTTCAAATAATAATCCTTGTGCCTCTATTAACTTTTGGTTGAAAAACATGTCAATTTAAATAACCCCGTTACTCTCTACTATTTGAACAATGTTCAAGAGTCAATTTAGATATTGCTGACTCAAGTTATGGTTGGCTAGTACCTTTCCGACCAACCCTTCTATGTAATACAGTTTTACTTGAAGAGCTTGATATTTTGACTTACTTGACGTTGAAACGATAGTGCACTCCGATATAGGTACAATTTTAGTTTTCGGAAAGACGAAACAGCTCCATATATCTGGTCGTTCGAACGGGTTAATAAATTGTGGTCATCAAAACGATTTCACTATTACTGATGTCGCCACAAAATGTCTTACTTTGTATTCAAATTCTTGCTTTTCGAAACTAGCATTCACGGAAAGATTTATATTAAAAAAAAGTTTTACATAGGTTTAGTTGAAAAGGTAAAATCAATTTATGCTGAATCCTAAAATTATGGCACCATGTTACAAAATGATGTTCCTGGAAATTTGAAGCATCAAGCATTGATTTGGAAACTTTTGTCGTGCAATTTATTTTTAATTTTCCTTTATTGAAAAGATATAAACAATTACTATTCATAATGCTCATATACGCGTCATGTACTTCAATAGGGTACCCTAATTATTATAATTTCAAAAGTCAATATTATATTAAACATTGTATTCAATTAAATATTCTCTTGCCACTTAACTTCTACTGTAAAGTCATTATGTAACTAGATTCACGTCTCTTTGAAATTTCAAGTCTTTATTGAAAAGTGTTGACATAAGAGCACCACCCTGGTGTAAACCCTTTCAAGTGTTTTCGTTCAGCATTTCTTGACTTCTGAATTCAAGGGTCAAATGAAATCCCTCTTTATGTTATGTATTGAAAATTTTGAAAATTATGTCACAAGATAATTAGAAAAGTCAACATTTGTATCTGTTATTACACATGTAACTTTCTTTAAACAGTAGTTTCTAAAACTTATATTGTATCTGAACAATAATAATAGTGCTGGACTAACATTGTTCATAACTCATTATTTCAATATTTTAAGAAATTGTTAAGTTATCAAAAGACTCATTGTGCGATGGACGAGTGTTATTAGCGCTTGTTTGCTATCATGTAGATCTTTCTTTCGATCTCTGCGCTAGGCAGGCAACCCGATTTCCCTCTATCAGAGATGCAGGTTTGACCTTTTGATATGGAAGGTAAAAGCGTCTAATCGTTCGGATGGGCTAATAAACCGAAGATCACTCTAGTAGAAATCGCATAAGTGTTGGCTAATTCTGCTGTCCTGGCAAACATATTTCTGTATCATGTATACTGTATAAATATTGCTCGTCATTACAATAACCAATCGAGAGAGAAATAGAACATGATTGAAGATTATAGGATAAAATGCTGAATAGTAAGAATGTTTGATGTTAAGGTCCATATTACTAAAACTTCAAGTTCAGTCTGGGACTTGCCACGGTAATTACATATAAGGGGTCTTCAAAATTTGTTGAATCATATATCTTAAAAATATATCAGGTATATCAATTAGACTAACCTGTCTCACGACGGTCTAAGAGAAACCAAAGTTCCCTTTTGGTGGCTCTGATGATTATTCTGCTGAGTAGGAAATAATTCAAAAATTCATTAAATCATATGAATGCCAGTACATATTTGAGGAAACGCAAACGTACATAAAGTCATGAAATAACATTCTAACATATAGACGTGAATATAAAAATGATACCGCATTAAAGATAAAGTTAGATATATGATATTAAAGTAGTTTGGTTTGACTGTTGAACAGGTGTCTGTATGTACAGACTATCTTACTACAAAAGACCGTGAAAACATTTCATACTTTCGTAGAAATTCGAAAAAGAACAATGAAGTGTAGTTAAAATCTTTGTTGGTGGTAATTTTTTCAATATTGCCCCTTTATATATGGAAATATCTGCCCGGCGTCAAGTTATAAAAATTTTAAAAAAAATGTCGTCTGGTCGAGTAGATTAAAGATAGCTGTTTAGCGCTTTACATTTACATTTATCATTAATGTAAAAGATTTATGTGATCCAAGGGATTGAGAAAGTAAGATGGCAACCGAACTCGTTGCTCTTATCCGAATCCTGACGAGAGATCTTAAAGTTACGAAACGAATGTTTAGTAGCGGCCTTGTATTTCTAACTTGTATTTTACAACTATAAGGAGTTTTCTGGCCTTCTTTTCCACATTCCTATGGAATAAAATTAAGAATTAGCTTGAATGTTTTTGTTCCATAAAATAATTTTGATTCGCACCGAAAATAAGAATGGTGGGAATACAAGCTAGAAGTAATCTCGGTACTCAAATTATACTATATAGCTTTTCATTTCATACATTATATTTTTTATTCATTTTGCCTAAACAAGTTGTTAGGTTGTTAGGTATTACTTCTTCCTCGTAGAAACGCTATGTAAGACGTTATCACTTTAACAGTGATATCGGATTGAAACGATGAAATGTGACTTTTTGTAATGTTATCTGGAGGTACCACAACAGATACACACAGCAAAGACCTCTAATTTCTAGAGTTTGAACAAAATGGAAAACTTCTACAGGGGCGAAATACCTAGGCAGGCTTAAAGTTTAGTCGACGGTTTGGCCTTTAACACCCTATGCTATGTTACAACTTTAAAAGAGATTCCAGTACATCAAATCTTAGCCATGAGCAAGTCAAAAATATTTTAGCTGTAATGTACATTGTACGTTTTATTGCTGAATTGTAAATAACAAGTTTATCGAGCGAGTATCAAGTGTATAAAAAGTATATAGAGGAAGTATTTTAAGGGATAACCACGTGCTCTATCAAGGTAATGGGGATTCAGCGTGTCATGTTCCTCATATCTATATCACGTGACTTTAATGAGCCAATAACTGATCTATCACACTCATCAATATGTCACTGCTATCTGTGATTAAAATTTTTAAGGTACAAACAACAATATTATTTAAAGGGTCCTATTTAAACTATGGGTACAGAGATCCTCACGCACAAACAGGTGTATACCGCTATAGTGTTTATCTCCAACCGGGTTTATAACGGTATATTAACATGCATGGATACCTGTATATTGTAACTTGTTAACCGTAGTTTTGGTCGACAAATTTTTATGAAGGAATTAAATTACGTTTAAAAAAATCAGTCACCTTACCGTAAATTTTATACAGATTTTGCAAAATGAGGTTATAGACCTTTGGGAAAATTTGTCACGAATTCGAAAGGTAAGTCATATGATTATTTATTAATAAGACTTTGTTACTTTTACTTAATGGATTCCTTATTTTGAGATGTCGATATTGATGCTATTATCAGAAGCAAATTAACGAGGTGCATAGACTAAGATCAAATTTTTTTAGCGTTGTTCTCAAATGGAAACTTTCAGGTACAGACAGGTCTGGAATACCTGATTCATATTTTTTCTCTGTAGAACCTATATACATGTAGTCCTTGCATTGGAATCTACTTGGCATTAATATGGTCCATGGCTGCTTCGACTATTTAAAGGCATATTTTTAAAACTGTTAGATTAGCTGGGATCACGGAGTTCCGCTTTTAAGGCAAATGTATTTTAATCTCATGGGACTGTAAATCGCTACATCGTTAATCGTTCGTTATTAGACTACGCTATAGTTTCTTGCGAATACGCCGTTCTCACTTATGCTATTTCTATTTGTGTCCCAAGCCAAATTCAGGCAGACCTCGAGATGTTTATTTTGTTATCTCTTGATGACATAGTTAGGACATTTTATACAGCGGTTCACTGCAGCTTTGTGTGAATGGGTGCATAGAATACACACTGAACTGTAGCTATCTTCAATAGAATATGCCACTAGCTACGATTTCGAAACACTTAAAGGGTTTTATGCCCCTAACAGGGTCATAATGCTATGCAATTGTGCGATATGCGAAATTTGTGCTAGAGCAATAAAATTAACCTACTCCTTCAGGATTTCTTACTGACGAAGGACCTTAAACAACACAGACTGTAGTACCCAGGACATCGATTTATAATCCCACCCGAACGACCAGACACTTTCTGTGGGAGCCCCCCTGACCTTGACTTTCAAAAGTGAAAACTTAACCGAGTTTAGCAAGCGTCTAAGCCACCGAGACCCTCTCTAAAGATCAATTGCAATTTGTCGTAAACTATTTTAAAAACACATAATACGCCGTATCTTAATATTGAGATACTGTACAACTGAGTGCAATAATAAAACTACGTCTTAATATATCAAGAATTTCTTTTAGTTCAGAAAAAGAGAGGTAACATAATAAAACGCTTGTGCTTTTATGTAGAAAATGACTTACAGTGTTCCATTGAAAAGAATCATTCATAAGGCATTGTGTCTCGTCGCTGGCAAATATTTTTCTCACGATCGATTCTCGAATTTGTTTGAATGAAAAGTGAAAACTGTATACAATAAGTCATTATAAGTCAATGTTTGTAAACAGATAACACCCAGGTGGAGATAAACCTTTTCTATTCATGTTTTTATGATACTTCTCGACGACGCTTTTTCTTGTATTATGTGATTACCATGGTAGCATATTAAATCTCGTGCACTCAACTATTGAGGAGTGTGTATGATCAATGAATCAACGAGTACCTCTCTTCTAACAATACACCAGACGAAATATTTTTTGAGAAAAATGTAGTTCATTACAAAAAAATATACATAGCTTCAATAGTTTCGAGAATGCGAAAAATGTACCCTGTACACGGAAGATATCCTTGGCTTGTATATTTGAATGTTTATTAAGTTTGCTCGCAAACCTAAGGATCGGGGTTCGATTTCGGCAGAGTTCGATAGTCCTATTTCCCTGTCAGTAATTCTAGCCAACCATCGAAAGAGCATCCAGTTAATCGGATGAGACAATAAAGGCAATGCATGTTAAAGATCCCGCGACTCGACAAAAATTGACTAATGCCTCTGCAGTGATTATATTTCCTTTATCACACACTGCCTTTTTTCATTGGCCCAATCAAGTGTAGAAAAGTGAGACGCTAAGGTTGCATTTCATTTCATTTTTAGCACATAATACACAATGGAACCGCCTGACTGTAGAAGAAAAATGTATTTACCAATGGAAGCTCTCAATAATCACGACCTTCTGTCTCGGCTTGGGAATGTAAGGTTATTAATGGTACCAAAAGAAACACACTGTGATGATCAAGATGCTCATATCTTAGCCGATGATTCTGACTGGATGATGGCTGAAAAGAACAAGCCAAGAAGTCCACCAATATCACCAGCAGTACCTTGGTCAAGAACAACTTTTGATTTTAAATCACCTGATGTCGAATCGCCGTCTCCGTTGAAGCATTCACCAGAAACGAGGGTATGTATAAAAACTAATGAATATTTTTCTTGAGTTTCTCTTAATTTCAAAAAGGCAATGTGCCCCAGAATTCAAACTTAACGATACTATATCATTCACATGAATCTTAATGTTCCAACCTTCTTGGGATCGCCGAGGTTCCAAAGGCATAGTTGGATAAGGTGTATCATTTGCACCCGAATCTCTTGTTAGATCTTTGCCAAATTTCCCCGTGTTAAGCATTCGAGAAGTTTTCAATTAAGTCCATGACTTATACGAAGATCAGCCAAAATTTTGTAACCTATTCCATGGTCTTCATGTCATGATATACTTTACAACTTTGTAAACGATGTATTAATTATTCTAATTGTTATAAAGGATACACAACAATCCAGTAATGAACGATCTCCAATACCTGTATATAAATCTGATATCAGAAATAGTGAAAGCATGAACCAAACACCCCAGTATTACCAACCGTCTATGTACAGAGAAAATCAGTTATTAAACACAAAACGTCAACTGTTCAGATCAGATACTATAGGTAATTACAAATTCAGGTCAAAGACTGAAAATAATTCAAATACAATTGAAAGTATTGCATGAGATCACGAAGACCGACATCACCATGCAGGACACACCAGGGCAGCGCTATTAGCCAACTCCTCTCGGAAAGTATCACATTAGCCTATGCCTCAATACATCCTGAAGCCTAACAGCACCTAGATCACCTGGCCACCATAGCGCCCAAAGATCCAGTAGAAATTATTGAATCAACGAAGGTTTAAATCTAAGATGCATGACACATAATACTTGTGTTGTTTACATAAACTAAACTAGACCAAATAAATCGTGCGAACACCATTTTTCATAAAATCATTATTGTTTTCAGCAGACAAACTCAGGGCTGTACAGAATAGCCATCAAGGATCAGACAGACTAAGTCAATTGTATGAATTGATACAATCAACAACCACCGAGAGCAGTAACATACCAACTTCTCCAGTATTATCCACTGTCCAACCCAACCCAACTTACCAACCGTCTCATCAATGTCTCTGTCATCACCAAACTTCATTACATAGCCATCACCATTCATTATCACCGCATCATAACGTCTCTAAAAGACGAAAATATGGTAAGTTGAAAACTGACACATAAAGAGTCTGTGTAGCTTCATTTTGGTATTTTTGTAGCACACCAATAGCCTCATAGATCTGCTGATGGAAACATTGTCCTCGAGGTCATCCAATCTATAAGCTTTAAGTCAACTCAGTTCAAGACTAAAAACAACTTTATTTTGACCTATCCAGGACAAGCACAAGCTCCAACTCATTCAGCTTAAAAACTTTATAACTTCACCGTCTTGACTGATCTATGTTCATGCACCACCAATGTAAAAAGCATCAAGTGCTAAACTTCGTCATTCATTTTTCAGAATCGCCTGTCTCATCGAGTAAGAAAGAAAACGAATCAAGTAAGACACCATCATGCACTTGTTCCTTGATGGAAGAACATTTTCTTCAAATGGCAGAAACAGCATATAAAAATATTAGACGCAAAGATACGTCGCCTGCCAGTTTTGAACAATTCAAAAGGGAGCTAACTCACACTAATGATATTTTAAAAGAATCTGTGGACATTGTCAGTCAAATAAAAGAAATGTGCGAACATCGGAAGGCTTGACATTCTGTTGCAGGTGACGGACGGAACGTGTGCTGTGCGTGTATGAAAAATTACACTTTTTTTATAATGAAAAAATTCTTATGGATTACAATTACTAACTTTATTTGAGCAAATTTTTGCATTATATCCAACACCTTTACTAAATGCCATTCAAAGATCATCATACACTTTTTTTATTTATATATTTATGTATCTTTTTCTACTTCTACGTATATTATGGAAAAATATCCGTGCATATTCATGGACGATTTCAAACATAAACACGAACAGTCTCCCCGTAATTGAGGTAAAGTGAAAGGAAATTGGAAACTCTACAAACTCTGTTAACTTACCTCAAATCAAAGTGGACTGCTCGTGATTAACTTTTGGACCTTCCCTGGGTGTGCACATCTCTGATAGACAATAGTACATATTTTATCCTGTTAATTCTTTTCTATTTCAAACTTACGACTTACAACAGATAAAAGTTGGACGCCTTTTTAAATATTTTCATACGTCATCATAGAAGCATTGAGTTAGTTCTAGTTACCCAATATAGGGCAAAAATAGACGTAGGTAGCGTTCACCCCAGAGTTTCCAAAAACGCTGAAGCTCTGATAGTAGTTGGACAATAGTTTCCTTATGGTATATTTATATTATTTTGACAATTTCATATTATTTAATTTATCCTTTAAGTGTGTGTGAACGGTGTGTTGTGTGTGTCATTATTTATGAGTGATATTTATTGTGTTTATTTAATTTTTATTATATAAGATGAAATGCCCCATTTTCAGACCCCCGTCCACGGATATTATTTATAATATAATATATAAAGTATATCATGTAGTATATTCTTGTATTCAGCTGTTGATGCATCTCGTTCACACCCGAGATTTTCGCATGGAATTTGTGTTTGCATTTCGTAAATGTTCCACTAAAAGTCATGCTCGTAAGTCGCAGTCGTAATCAGTTTAACGAACATATAAGAAATTAACTGAATCCGATAAAGTGAGTGGTCTTTCTGCTGTTCATGTTTTACTTCCAAGCACCAATTGGATGTAGTCGTCGATCGATGGCAATTTGAACATGCACATCCAATGGACATTTTTCAGTCGTGGGTTGGCCTATTCCAGCGACCGAAGCGGACCTGATGATGAAAATTACTTAGCTTGATAGGCTCAAAATGCGCGAGTAGTGAATCAGTTGAATACGAGAATATTTAGATTTTATTTAGAACTTATATTTTATTTTATTATGTATTTCCTAGAATTTATTTATTTATTTTAATAATTTTTGTAGATATTGTACTCTACTGTAAGTTGTTTGGGTTGTCTCAACTGAAATAGATATCAGTCGTGTTTTGACTTCGTGAAGATATTTTCCAGATAACTCAAAAACGACTTACTGGTATATGCTCATTCTAATGCAACGATTCCACATTTGAATATTTTATTCCAATGCAAATTATTTATTTATAAATTATATTTAGAAGGTAAATTTTTATGTTTATAAAATTTGAAAAGATTATTTTCCGTCCTTGTAAATAAAAATGTCAAAAAAGATGTGTGATATCACCTTTATGAGCGCCGTGAGATCAATTGGGCGTAGGCAAACCTAGAATTTAACACCCGATTCTGCCATTTGTATTTATATGGAACACTTACAACTTCTTGTTGTTGACCACTCCTTTTTCCATTCCCATAACCATGGATTGAATATTTCTTGTGGCATTATTTTGGCATGCCAAAATATTACCGTGAAAGCGATTGATAATACAATGATGATCAAATAAAGCTGCGATGAAAGCTTCAAGACTTGTTCCGGTATTTGATGGTAGTTGATGGAAATCTTGTTAGGTGAGAAAGAAATCTTGATGCGTTTCGTGCCCTATAAAAATTACAACATTATGCTCATAGACGACTATCTTCAAGATTGTGTACCCCTTGAGGCTGCAGACTAACCCGATGAAGTGTATCCTAGTGAGAGATGAAACAGTCGATATGTTCCTCATCGTGCGGATACTCTGTCATATGCCAAGACGTTATGGTCGTTAGTTCATACATGGGAGACAACTACATTCACAAATTATGAACCCGTTACGTCTTGACCAACACAACGTACCGTTTCTCTAAACACCCTGGTATAAAAACAGTTATGGTGGAATTTTACCTTAGGAAAATATAAGGTGATACAATAAAGCCATTTTGCCGTTTCCAGACCTATACATGTATTGCATAGCATATAATATTCATCATTCAATAGGGCATTTTGCTCGATTTCCAGCATTTCGATGTCTGTATATACCCACAGTATCTCGATATAAATAAAAAATATAAGACGTGTTTTCGAAGTCAGCATCTTTGATGCGAATAATGGACAGAAACAACTAAGTTTTAAAAAATACGAAGGTAATGGCTCGACCTATGTAAGACTATTCCAACTTCCTTAACATAAGTAACGAACTTTACTTTAAATCACAAAAAACATCTTATTATTAGTACGTCTTGTGAACTCATATGTCCTTCATCGGGTTATTCAGGGACAAATTAATATCTATGTAATTATATGAATTTAAACTTCGGTAATTAAATCCATGGGTCACGACGGTTCAATTTTATTGATTAGCTTTTTGACCGAGGGTATTGTAATATACAGTATATAAAGCAGAGACTTTGTGAGATAAAATCATTGGTCTCATCAAAGGTTAATACGTATTTACGGTAAGGTTTTTGTTTAAATTACAAAATCTTTTTTTTTCTTTATAAAAAAATTGGTATTCTATGCCTGCGTTCATTTGCGAAAACCTCCGGAGCATTTGGTTGTATCATTTTCCGTGGTAGGATATACTAAATTTAGCCCGTGTACTTGTCATATTTGGATTGATTTTTGAAGTTAGAATATAAATTTACACGCCAATAGCTGAACAACCAATTGAAAAATCCGACCAAGGGCATACTAAATCTAATTTGTGTTTTTATGATTCGGTCGATTGATATTTTAAATTATGAATAGAAATATATACGTTTCATTATTTTAGTAGAAATTGATATAATTTGCTGATCATCCGATTGAAAAATTCATTTTTCAGAAAGAACAACTGAATTTAACAATGCAAGTTACAATCATCTCAACTTCATTAGCTCTACTGGTCTTGGTTGTTACAATTCAAGCTCAGTATTTTCCAATGAATCCATGGATGCCACAGTTGATGTTCAACCCAATGATGGCCTATAACCCCTGGTTTACAAATGGTATGAGTATATGGAATACAGGGAGCATGTTTACTCGAGGCTTTAATCCCATGATGAATAATGATGATTTTGAATTTGAAAATGGTAGATGGGTTCGAGACTTCTAAACTAAATGGTATTTATTTTATAATGTTCTAAACGTGACAGCTTTTACTAAGTTCGGTTGAAGTGTTGCAATTATGTTTTTATTCTTCCAAAAATTCAATCCTTTTTAGAACTATTCACGATAAATCCCAAGTGATTCTTTAAGGCTACTAGACGAGGAAATATGACGGGGTTTTGGAAATCAAGACCTCCACTACCAACATATATTAGTTCAGCACTTTTTTGACAATGGGCTTCTTCTGCTTCTTCCTTACCTTCCTAATGTCACCTTACACACTCTCTTAGATCACTTCCGATACCACATTTATTTATTAATTTCAGATCTAAGCACAGATAAAAAAAAAAAAGACATCAGATGTAAGCAGTTGTTCGGATGGGTTTAAAATATTACTACTTTCTCACTACAATGTTTTCGTAATCATTTGATATTTATTTATTGAATTGCAAATCAACTAAAAAAATAGGAGTCCTAAGTATGACATCTTATGTTATTTAAAATTCTTGGAGAGAAGTGTACTTTTTCCTCACCTAAAATTATCTCATCGTACATTTATACTATCAAAAGTCATTGTAAAATTTCATAATGCATAATACATCAATTCGTCATTGTTGAACTAGAAGCGAAATTTAAAAAAAAAATAAAGGAACGTTTAATAAAACTTTGGTAAGGAATTCGACAATCTTATAGCCATTTTTGTATGTTTTTAACTTGTCTCGACAAGACTTGTAATTAATTTATACTATAATATAAATAATTATGTATATCATTTGCGTAATTGTGTACATCTTCAAAACATTTCATTTTTTGTAAAAACTATATCAGAAATTTGTCATACATATACATGCATAGGAATTTTTAATCGTATGTGCACGTATATTATGTACATGTATAATTTAAATTCATAGTTTGGTTAAGTTTGATCTTGTACATACGCATTGTCTTTCATGAAATTTTGTAAGTTCAATTACGTTGCAGATATTGTATCATTTATATTCATCAATCGTTGTATATATTTTTATACGTATTTTTAAAATTACCATAATTTCTGAAAAACCAATGTTGTTATTTATATTAACGAAATTAGCTCGACTAGCAAAAGCAACGTGACACGTTATACAGCCCGTTAACGTCCTTATTTTGGACGCTTTATGAATACGTTGCCAATCTGTATTTTAAATTACAATTCGACAATTATACAAAATTTGATTGGAAGAAAAAAGATGTGGTACTTGTTGGTGGTTCTACGATTCAAGTTGGGACAGATGAATAATTTAGAAGTATGTTAATCTGAGTTTCAAAACCATTTTGACTAGTCCCAGCAGGAGTTAGATTGGGCAGCAACCATTCTGAGGAGTTAGATTGGCCAGCAACGGCGTTTTAGTGACACTTGGTCGATAATAGATTTATTTATAGTATTAGAAATATATCTCAGGCTGTGGTTGTTCCCCTTTATCAGTTTACAGATTCAGCATAAATTACGTCTGCTGGAAAATAGTCGATAACTGAAAGTGTTCAAAGCATCGGATCCACACTACTAGTCACTGTGATTCATTCGATGACTATCTAATTCTCCACGATGCAAGCAGTTAAATGCAATGAAAGAAGTAGCCGAAAAATAAGTTGTTATCTGAATCTGCCGGTCGCCAGGTCGACCTGGGCTCTCGTTACGTTAATCAGTTTCAATTTCCACAGAAAAGACCCCGGTAGTGATGCTATGAGTTTTGATGTGAAAAGACTCCTTCATTAGAAAGCATCAAGTTTGAGTTTGAGACCCGCTTTTATCTTTTATTATATGGTATTTTAATAAACATGTTATATATTAAACCTATTTACTGTATAGCCTTCTGAAAAACTTCATTGAAAATTATTTACCATGAGTTATTTCCCTTAATGTTCAAATGCAAGTTTAATTTATGCTTGATAAATATTGAATAAAAACTGCGAGTTAGTTTCAACAGCTTCCAGTGGTCGAGAAGTTAGTCATGGTGACTTAGCGAGCCTCAATAAATCATTAGTCATCAGAAATGAAATGAATGGAGTTTTACGTCCTACTTTTCTGCACCATGTGGGTTAATGAAATCAGGCAACGCCATGCAGGGTGCACTGAGGGAAGGTCAAAATTGTATCTAAATTTTTGCTACATGTTCTGCCATGAATCATTCAATTCTATCTGGTACAATTCATATAATATAACAAATTGATTCGTGATAAATTATCCCAGGTATAGAATAATGTGTAATCATATTTCACCCTAATATTAGATTAGTCAGCTAATGTTTATATTTTGAACGGAAACAATTAAGAAATATTTCGGCCTATATCGTCTTCTTTCGTTAGGCCTATATGTATACTTATAATTTAATATGTTTAGTTTCTCTGTTAAATTATATAGCGTAATTTCTATAGTGTAATTTATACTTTTTGCATCTAAACAAGAAAGGAATGATCCTTCCGTATTTGTATAATTGAATGTATTTAAGAAAGGCTTTCGTTTCTTTCTGTTTGTTCTTTGTTATGAATATGATATCAACAAAATTGTATGTTGTTTGTACTAGCAAACACCAAATTAAATTTTTCTAGTCAGAATTACTTCCCTTGACATGGATCAGTCTTTATTAAGTAGCTATTTTGTTTGAGCCAATAAAAAACAAACTAAAATTTTTGAGACGGAATTACCTCCCTTGAAATGGATCAGCATTATCTTCAGTTGCTGAAACGATTCATTTCAATGTGTACAGAGAATAACTGGTAGCATTTTAATTTTGAAACAATCAACTTCAAAACATACACAGGGTAGTATTGTTATTATCGAATAGTTCTATCCTATCATAATAAGCGGAATTACGCTATCTTAAATCATGAATTACCTCCCTTGAAGTTGAAATCAATATCAACATTTCCAGAAACATCCAATGAGATCTCATATTTGGTCATCGGCTTCTGACATAATTTTCTTGTATTTAATTTTGTTTAGATTTCGGGTTTCGTTTTGCAGTTTGGATCGTTGGTACTTGTTATATTTATACCGTCAACAATACGGCAATTTATCGAGCACAAGAAAAATATCCTCTTGGAAATTTATACATTTATATATAGAAATATTACTTCCACGTAATAATAATTTAATCTATACGGGATTTAAGCACAGTGAAAATATTTTGTTACTGTACAATCAATGTATAGGCCAATATATGGAAGAAGAACGTAGGCCATACATTCAAACATAAATTTGATAAATACATAAATGTACTTTCTTCATAAACCCAAAATGTATATGCGATAGTTACTTTCAACCTATATTTCCCTTTCTGCAAGAGAATAGGTAGACTATAATCCGTTTTTATGTCGGTTTGTCCAGTTGCAGCCAACCTTAGTCTCAATTACTGACTTGTTGTGTGACGATATATCAGTGAAACATTGGTAGCAGCCAATGAACTTTTCATTCTGTATCTTCAGACATCAGAAACCAAATTTAAAAATATTATCAGAATTATCTCCCTTGATATTGATTGTAAAGAGTGTGATTCAGCCCTGTATTCAGTCGACAAACGATAAATTCAAAGAAACGAGTCAGATCTAATCCATATATTTGAAAACTGTTTTTTAAAAACAGAGCAGGGCAGTACTCTTGATTAATAAGATTATTACGAAACGGTGTGATATTTTAGATTTTGAGTATTAAAATTACCTCCCTTGAAGTCGAAATTGAGATCAATTTTCAGTTACAAAAACATCCAGCTAAACATGGCAGTGTTCATTGGTGTCTGATATTTTTTGAAACACTTTTCACCACGCCACGAAACACTAATTGAGGCTACACTCCAACATCAGAAATGTAACATTTTGATAACCGACAAGAAAACACCTTATAATGTTAGATTATTAAGCCAGATTATTCTCTATTTTGCTTTCTAAAAAGGAGCGGTAGACTCCCTTCTTCCGATGATAATGTGGGTTTATATGGTTGATGTATGTACGGTCGTTTCTGTTTTTTGAATATTGTATTATGTAATAAGATACTTTTCTTAATGCTTAGTAAATAAATACGTAATGCTGTTTGTATCTTCTATAATATATAACCTTCTATAATATATAACCTATGGGACAAAAACCAAATGATATACAATGTTTTCGACGTTAGAGATGATCAAGCAAATCCAATTTATTCAGATCCTACTATCAGCTCTCACGACTACCAACAAATACATAGTCTTTGATATCAACTTCACCTGGAAGCGGACATAACTAACTAATCAGCCAAAGTAGACGGTGTAAAAATTACCATTTGTAGGCAAATGGATGACTATCGTCGAAACAGCAGTTAGTAAATAAGATGATGCACAATTCGATTGAAAAAATGGATTTGGAATTCCAGGAATCACATAGAAATAAAATATACCAATATACCTTTGTCGCCTCTTCGAAGGTGAAATTGATTGAGAAGCAAACTGAAAGCGTTGTGGCCATCATCAGTTACTTTGCATAATATGACATTTTTTTTAAGAGGATGGGTGGACGAAAACCTTGATAAAAGGACGATTGAGTAATATAGAGAAGCATATTGAAACTTGTGGTTTCGTCTGGTTCCTAACAAAATAATAAGTTAGGATTAAAAAAGAGAGCTTATCGTGGAAGTTCGAGCTCAAATTTAGATAAATATCGAAGATTCTTTCCCTTTTGTGTTTTTGATGCCCGGGCTGTGTTGAAATTAACATGGGTTATATTCCATTCATGTGGGGGCACTAACGGGATACCGGTATGTGAAAGCTATTCCTAATCGGTATAAGAATTGTGCTAGTGGTCGATTATATGCCTACATTAGTTACTCTTGATTATTGGAGTTGGTTTATCATATCTGTATGATCGTGCGTGACACACCCAGGAGGAATTTATTGGAAAAATAAAACTACATTGTCAAGTTTCTTTCAAACAGATATATCAAGGTTGATATAGTCCTTCTTGAACCTTAAGAAGTATTCATATTTTTTGTTTACAGTCATGGGAGGGTAATGAACACATGCAAGTCTGACAAAGTCTCTTTGGATCCCAAACAGTTAAGATATAACTTGCTATGCGAAAGTCCAATTGATGGTTGCAATGCATCAATGGTTCTTTGGTTGGTTATCGTCACTCACGAGGACAGCAATTGCTTGTTTTCTGGAAAGGGCAATTTGAGTCGCCCAGACTCCACCAATTAAATCCCCTTTCATATTTAGGCCAAGACATAATATGCGCCAAGTATCATATTTCTACATATATTTAATGATAATGTATATTTTATTTGAGATGTGAATGAACAGTGTACCCTAATGACCTAGACGATACCACAGTAATCATCATTTTGTATTCCAATTTTACTTCGCCACACCACAGTCAGAGTCCTACTTATCTCACCCTGCAAAATCGTCCTACCAGACAACCACAAATCGACATGTGTTCCTATGCAAAACGTTTTCCTAAGAATCATGCAAAATGCTCGATGTTTGTAGTACTAGCATTCATGTTAAAGCCAAACGATCACGGCATTGATTCTGGTCCTGCCTGGTATAATGTTAGGACTATAGTGTCTACACTCAGTGTAGATGAAAGCCGGGTCATTAGCTATGCAAAGCCAGCCTCAAGTTAGAATCTAGCCCATAATACTTCGTTTGTTGGCTGTTCCAGTTGACGTGCCTGTGCGGATTTAAGGCGTTGGTCTATTAATTTAGCATATTTAGCAATTTATATGTTTAGAAAGTAGCGATAAAAATGTATATTGTGATTGACTACTGAGTGAATATTTGATTTGTTGTCAGATATTTGATATTTTGGCTTCTGCACAAAGCATTTGTCAATTGAACTCACTCCCCCGTCACCACACCCAAGTCGAAACTATATGCCTCCGAAAAGCTTGTGAGTTTGTTGATATCGCCTGGATTTTCGGCATATCGGACCAGACGCCGAATATTCAGTGAGTTAATACGTTTTGGCGAACTGGGGATTGCTAAAGGATTAGTTCTCAACCCTTTTTAGGGTTAACAGCCAGACCCGTCGCGCTGTCAGAGCGGATTTGGATACCAATATGGCGTGCTGCCTTACAGAGGAATTGAAAGAACAGAAGCGAATTAATCAAGAAATAGAAAGGCAGTTACGGAAGGATAAAAGAGATGCTAGGCGGGAGTTAAAGTTACTTCTTTTAGGTAAGATCTTTTCAGATGCAAGTGGTACAAGAATGACGAATTTGTGTCCATGAACCATATAAATAATATCGCCCGATAATTTTGCTACTGCCCGTGCTGCACTTTTACGAAAATTACCATCGTTTGCAGATTTCAAAGTAAATATCATGCTTCTCTTATGCATTTATATGATTATCTGCCTATTGTGTATGTAAAGGTTCATTATAATCCGGTGGAAGCTTTATATTTTGCGAGGAAAATGTAATTTTGGCCTACTGTCTGCATTATCAATCGACTGAACAAGCCGCCATTTTGGATTGTTTTGGTGAAGTTCTGAATACATAATTATTCATTTACGACACAGAATGCCGCCGATGTTTTGAAATCTGCACAAAATTATTTGACTAGTGGATTGAAAGTGATGAAAATGGCAACCTGAGATCATTTTATTTGACTTCTTGGTTGCATCATCATTGTTTTATACCAAGCATTTGTATATAATAAGATAGACGTTCATCATCATTATAGAATCAGAATACAATTAATGCCATTGCTATGTAACTTGTATTCAGCTTTGTGCATTACATTAGATGTACATGTTTTCTGAGAATCAGAGAATTTGGGCTTTTGCAAAACTTTAAGATCTTAATTTTGGTCAGAATGTCTTTGAATGAAGGATATGATGGTTTTATGATCTATTTGGAGGAACTTGCACTCAAAAATGTATGTTGGTCGTAGTGCATTGTGACAATGTTGCTTAATGACAATATATATGGCTTGGAGGGGTCACCATGAAAAACCACCATAATGGCTAGGGTCCAAAGGTTCTGATCATAAAAATTCTTGCTTGAACGTAGTGTAAATTTATATTCTTCTCCGTAGCATGCATATACACAGTTTTCTCTGTTGGCCAAATTTTTTGTAGAGCTCACATTGCTATGTTCATTCTTTGAAATTCAAGAATTTCAGATGTTCTTGAGAAACCAGATGTTTGATGTAACATCTGAAATTTTCAGACTGAAAAGTGTCCCTCAAGAAAGAAAGAAATGGAAACAAGACAAGGATGATAATTTAGGTTCCTAAAGATCGTTAGTCGTTCCTAATGATCGTTAGTCAATATATTTCGGCAGTAACCCTTTCTGGATTATCTATGCGTATTTACCACTGGTTCGATTGGAATGGTGATGAAAGATAATTTTATGTTACCAGACTTAACCTGGTGAAAGAGAACCTAGGACCACCATAACTGACTGCATACAATCCACCCTCATCAAAGTTTCTTAGTCCTAGCTTTATTTTGACAGTCGCATTTACATGGAAGAACTGAAGTTTTTATAGATTTTGTCAACTTGAAAATAAATGAACCGTACAAATCCTTAATCCTTAATCCTTACTACGGAGGTGTTTCGGGTAGCTTTCTAGTCATTCTTGGGGTTTAGGCATAGGTTCAAATCTATACAATGAAAATCAAGTAGCCTATAACTGAAAAAAAAAAATTGTAGGGGCAATGAAGTCATTGTGGGAAAAAAGCGACTCTCTATAGCATAAAATGGACTGAAAGCTCAGAGTTTAGGGTGACATCATGGCATATGTCAAGATCTAGTATTCAAAGCTTCCTTCATCCTCCTTTGTCTACTAATGCAAGCTGGATACACTGGCATTGAAAACTAAAATAATGTTACTTTGGCAAGAAAAGTTGGATCTAAGAGAGAACTGGTTGGGAAGTGACATTTTGATAAAAATACTAACTTGACTAGGTACTGAATAATGTACGCCAATCGGATAAAAATTATTTGACTCCAGATATGGTCTTCACTTATTAGCAAGTACCAGAATGATGCTATCAACTTGGCATTATATTTTAGATAGTTAGGACTAGTAATACGTAGCTGGAACTGTCAGAACTGTTTGAAAAAGACAACATGCTTTTGCTTTAATCTTCATGAAAATGGATATTATTTAAATTTTTGAATTATAGTCATATACCTGGGATCAAGGAAATCATCTCTTATGGTCTCCAACAATTATTTCTTGCAATATAAGTCTTCATACACAAAGCAACAAAATCTGCGCTGAAGGTTTGATGGAAATGTTAACTCAAGCCAGTTTTGACTTCTTCCAAAAATTGATTCAGCAAACATGATGGGGAAAGATCACAAGCATGATCTGCACTTTTGAGAATTTTATATATTATGTGAATTAAAAATGTGTTTAAAAAGGTTCAAAATTACAACCTTCAACTATTGTCGAGATTATCAGTCGAATTGGTTAGATAATGGCTGATAAGTACACACTGTGTTTGACTGCTGTTTCTTGAAAACGAATTAAAATTAACAATTGAATGAATAATTTACTTCTGCATTTACCAGTATATTGTATGTCTTGTATGGTTGTTTGAAGATGCAATTTTTTAACATGATAGTGTGACATAATATGAAGAAACCAATTGACATTTACACCTTTAAATTTACAAAAATAAATTTCAGAGGCCTCATTCTCAAAAACTGAACTCGTAAACACTTTAATAAACAATATTTGAAAAAAGTGGAAAAAACAGCATTTGAATAAAGCGAAAAAAACAATATTTGAATAAAGTGAAAAGAACATTTGAATAAAGTGAAAAGGAACATTTGAATAAAGCGAAAAAAACATTTGAATAAGGTTTCTTCACCGTCGAAAAGTTCAGAAAACGCACAAGCAAAAAATTCAGTGCCATGAGCACATGGAAAAGATCCTAACTGACTTTGTCATGCAGGTTCTATAGCACAATCGGTTAGAGCGTTGGTTCTTAACATGGCGTCATTTGCTTGGTTACGTCGATCAAATGACTGCTGTGGGTTTCGATCTCGATCAAGTCTGCTGACCTTGAATAAGTCATCTTCACTCCAGTCGACCCAGCTGTAAATGAGTATGGATAATCTGGGAAAGATCAATGCCAAGAGGGTAGATAGAATCCTCAAGTGTGAACCTTAGTAAAATATAGCACTTTCTTTCTTTCTTTGTCATAAATTCTTTTGAATATTTTGAACTAAATATAACTGTTACGGACTGTTTGAACATCTAAAAAGTTAGCTATTTAATGCAGTCCAATGTATTCCAATCTGATAAAGATTTTTTATTTACTGTTATTCACAGGATGTATTTCTGGGCACATTATCTGTGTTCTCTTTTGATGCCAATCAGAATTCAAATTTATGAGAATCACATGTTATCGTCATCTAATCTATACTTTTATCATCTTTAGTTTTATGATCTATACTTTTATCATCTGTAGTTTTATCATCTGTAGTTTTATCATCTATAGTTTTATCATCTGTAGTTTTATGATCTATACTTTTATCATCTTTAGTTTTATGATCTATACTTTTATCGGCTGTAGTTTTATCATCTGTAGTTTTATCATCTATACTTTTATCATCTTTAGTTTAATGATCTATACTTTTATCGTCTGTAGTTTTATCATCTGTAGTTTTATCATCTTTAGTTTTATGATCTATACTTTTGGCCAAGGACCAGCTGGTTGAAAGGATCCTGTGAACTGTGAACATAAGTTATCTTTGTAAAATATAGTTGTTTGGTTGGTTCTTTTCTGAACTTTTTTGAGCATGAAGTGTCTTTCTGGAAAAAAATTGAAAGAAACTTGAATGCTTTAAGATTTCAAAACCAAAATATGCTTAAGTTTTAGTAAACTTCTATGCTTAAAAGGAGCTAAGCATTTCAGTTTATTAACATGAGCCATCAAGACCTGAAAAAGCCTTTAGTTGTTGAGATGGACAATAAACAAAGGCCCTGTATGCTGCATGTGTATGATAAAGATCTCTCAGAAATCAAATAAGAGGCTTATAATACATCTTTTCTGGTAAAAGTCCCTCATTGTACTCTACATGGCATTGGCCGTCTTCATTAGCTTCATTAGGTGCAGAAGAGTATGACGTAAAACTCAATTTCATTTTATTTGAACCATTTGGATATGACATTTTAATGGGATTGTTAAACTTTTTTGTGGAAGTGCACTGCAGGAACCAGACGTTTGACAGAAATTTTGAATGATGCAAATCGATGCTATGAGTGTCCCTGATGCACATACAATTTAGAACACCTCTTTACAATGCTTCAACGCTTTTGTAATATATTGTGATGGTAAAATGGATTGCTAAATTTGTTGCCTTTAATTGAACACCTTTTGTTTGTTGCCAAATCACAAAGTTCATTTTTAGTGGTTTTATCTACCAATGCAAGTTGCCAGGTTGTATTTCACAGACGTCCGATTAAAAATTAGAATTGTGCAAATTGATGCTATCAGTGTCTCCGATGAACATACAAAATTTAGAAAACCTCTTTACAATCCTTTAAGGCTCATATTTTATCATGGTACAATGGATGGCCAGTTTTTGTTGCCTCTGCCCCTTTATATGTTGCCAAAACAGAATTTGTCATATTTGGGGGTCTATTCTCCCACTGCAAGTTGTTACAATGGCTGTAATTTAGTTGCATTTTGTCAGCTAACTATTACACAAGATTTGGGTGTGGTACTCTAATAATTGTAGTCATATATTGTTGAGAAAGACAAATTATTGATTTTTATCTCACTAAATACTAGTTCAATTGATTTTCTCTTACATGTAGTCTCACTTTCTCTATCTCTAGCTCTTTTTTTTTCATTCATAGTTTTTGTCTAATTTTCTCGTGTTACTGCTGAAGTCATTGCAGCCAAAAGTTGTTCTTCGGAGGTCAAATGCAGTCCTCTTTTGTGTATTAGATGAATCACACTGAAGCTATATTTTAATACACTTGCAATTTAATCTTGTTACTCAAGTTGATAACTGATGTAAAATAAGTATGTTCTCTTTTTCTGACCTTGGTCAGTGCTTCTATAGGAGAGAATCTTCCATGGCACTGAACTGAGGCTTTGAGCACTTTGAGTGTGAATAAAATTAAATATCATAAACCATGGACAAGTAAAGTGAGTTAATATGTATGATGTTAGCATTATGTGAATGTGTCACTTAGTAACAGTTTTCTCACCAGCAGACCACAGAATTATGAGGCCAAAAGACCTGCTGCTGATGTTGGAACAATATCATATAACATGAGTGTTTATGATGAACTTAGGCTGTACATAGCTTTCAGGGTTTTGTAGACAAACAATTACTAGCAACTTAGTTATAGCAATTTTTCTTGCAAGGTAGACTACAAGTCACTGGCAGCAACCACAGGGACTGGTTGAACCAAGCCCACAGGCCCCCCATCTCTAAGAGTGAGAAAATATTCCAACAACCAAAGTACACAATTATAATCAAATTAAGCAACCAGCAATATTTAACTGAGTGAAATAGCATTAACTACCGACTGAAAATCTTCCAATTACAGGCATTAGATTGACTTACAGAGGATCTCAAAATGCAGGAGAGGTTATTTAAAAAAAAAAAATTGGGGGTAGTGCCCCAACCAACTTTGGTCCACAGGCCCACACTCAACTAGTTGAGCTACTGAGCGACTGTGATATTTCATTTGACTATAAACTGGTGATGTATCATTCTCGCATTCATCTACATGAAATTCATGTTGCTCTCAGATTCTGCAAGTAGCAAGGTGACCTTAGTCCATCTTAAGAGAAAGACATCTTTCATTTGTTTCAGTGTCTGTTTAGGGTGATGTCAGGTAACTTGGTAAAGTGCTATAGTATAAACTGTTCAGTGTGACATCAATTGACATTGAATATTGACTGATGGATAAAGGTTCCACCCTGAGCTCTAGCCATGCTCAATCAATATCTATTAATATATAAATATGTCAACATTTATCATATGAGTGATGATTGTAGCTTTGAATTAGGAGTCCATGTATTGCAGAAAGAGAACCCATGCTATCTTCATAGTGCAATTATATAGATAAAACAGATATAAAATCGTCAGGATTGCCCATGAACTGCTATATCTCAGGTTCTCATTATTTTGTACCCCTTTTCTGTATTTTGGCATCCCTTTAACCTTTGATTAGCTAAGGGGGTATTTCAATCATTTTCTCATGGTCATTAACTGCCTGGTTAATAAACTTTCCCAGAGAAGCTCCTGAAGTACCCCTTTGGTATTTGCTGGTGCCTCCAAAGGTTACTAGTTCCTCGGGTTGGGATGCTTATGAAATAGTCAAAATGGAACACCCAGGAGTCTTGTTAGTAACTTAGTTGCTGAAGGTGTTTCACATACCAGTACAACTGGAATGGCACAAATACACCAAGAAGCAATTAGGGTATGACTTGTGAACACTCTTAGTGTTTCTGATGGGTCTCTGAGAGGTATGCTTAAGTCCTCTGTGAAAGGATTCTAAGGATATCAAATCAGATGTTTTGGCAAAATAATTCACTTAATGCACCAGACAATGGTTGATATGGGATTGCTGGTCATCATTAGCCTCTTAAGGGAGAAAATGGTTGGCAAGACACATTTCATTTCATTCTAACTCAAAAGAGCAGGGAACATTTTAGATATAAAATTGATTGTTTTATCATCTGCTAGACAGAGCATCATCATCCAGTCAGATTGATTTTCCTTTGAATTGTATGATCCGCAAGTGATTATCAATGCAGTTTTAGAAGGACTTTGTCCACATTTGTTTATATAGTAATGATTTAAGATGTGGCCATTTGATCATTCAAGCCTACTGACCCAACTTTGATCTTAATATATGCAGCCTATCAATTCATTAAAAATATTAATATGAGTTGTTTATAGTGTTTCATATTGCTTTATTTATTTTATAGTAAAATTTCTGGAAATTTCTTTTAAAACTTATAAAGCCATCTTTAAAACCGAATTTAAAATTTTTGCCGTTGATTGCATGTATACAAAAAAAGCAGATATTAAAAAGGGTCTTTCAAATATTTCATAACCTTTATAATGGTTTTCAATAGACTGAATACGAGATAGATAATAAATGTGTATATACATTAAATACATAATGTATGAGAATATGATATATTATGTATGACTAGTAATGTATGAGTAGATGATATTTTGTGGTATGTTTTGTTCTTTCAGGTACTGGAGAATCAGGAAAAAGTACATTTATTAAACAAATGAGAATTATTCATGGATCAGGCTATTCAGATGAAGATAAAAGAAGTTTTATTAAAATAGTGTATCAGAATATATTTATGGCTATGAATGCTATGACAAGGGCTATGGACACGTTGAAAATAAGCTATCGAGACAGTGCTAATATTGTAAGTACAAGAGATGGTTTTTCCTCTCTGGCATGCCCTTTTAATGAATATTTAGTATCAATAAATTGGTATATTCAACCCCTTGGCTTCAAATCCCCCTTCGTATATAAGAAAAAGTCTGTGTTTTTCCAGAGTCCTGACCCTTTGTTGACTCAAAAGCAAAGTTCCCAATTGTTTACTCATCAGTCAGGTCAAATCAAATATTCAATGGCCCATTGGGGGAATTTTTGTTGTCATACAAAATTTCAAGTTATCCTATATTTAAAAGCAATACTTTAAGTCTGCAAGAATTTTTACACCCTTGACCAATGACTGTTTTCACCAAACAATCTAGATCAAATGTTGAATTACATATTGCTCTTCTTTTAACATAGTCAACTGTTTTGATTATGAATAAGGCATAGAGCTCATTTGCAGAGTTGCAATGATTGTTGCAGCTTTTGATATCACAGGAAAAATCCATCAGAGGCGAGGATACAAATCGCATTGTGTAATGTAAGATAATCAGTAATTCAGATGGATTTTGAAATTCTAAAGAACTGTTAAAATATCTCACTACCTTTTGTCACTAGTCCATATTATACATACTAGAGCAAATTTAATCAAATAATCAGGATGTTTCGTTAAGATTCTGCTGGTTACCTTATCAAGGAAACCTCACGTTTTTATTTAAAATTTTCTCATGTATTTGAAACATCGCAATATATTGTATTATTTGATGAAAATCGTTGAATTTTTTGATTGGCAACTTGAACCAACAACTGTTAACAGTTCCAAAATTGGTACGAGACTTTATCCCCATGGCTTTTTGATCTTTTGAAGCTTCTAGTCCAATAGCTTTCAACCCAAGTGCTTTTAAGCCTGCCATTAGTGAACAAGAATTTAAAACTCTGTAACATATGAAGAGTCACATGTTCGTTTCTTACAGGAACATGCAACATTGATAAAGCAGATAGATTATGAGACAGTGACTACGTTTGAAAGACAGTTTGTAGAAGCTATCAAATCATTATGGGAAGATGAAGGTATACAGGAGTGTTATGACAGACGGAGAGAATATCAACTTACTGATTCCGCCAAATAGTATGTATATTTCATGGCTTTAAAGTAACCAAGGTTATAGTGCAATGAAGGCAAATGCCTCGCTTTTAAAACAGTGACTCTTGTAGAAGTTTCATTTTTTGATTATGTATTTCAAATCCACCCAGACCCCCTTTTGCCTTTATTTTCAATTCTAAATAGAATTGCGCTACAGCGCTACGGCAGTATTTGGCCAATCTACCATGCATACATTCCATCATAGGTTATAACAACAGGTTTAAAAGGAATTTTTTAAGAGAAAAAACAGTTCAAATGTGACTATTTCCACAATATTTTAAAGAAAATATATTGTAGAGTATTCATTGACATATTAAGTGGAAAAAACAGAAACTGACTTCATAGCAAAAAAATTCTTGTTATAATAGATTTTTTTAATTCTATACTGGAAATGCTACCAAAAATGTTTTTGTTTTACCTACAAATGCATCTGGTTACTTAATTTTGTATGGGATCTACCTAAGTTAGGTATTGGTATTCAAACCACCAAACACTATCTAACATTTTCCTTAATGATCTCAAACTTTGTAACTCATTTGAGCACTATCTAAATGAGAGATATTTCTATTTTTCAGCTATTTAGATAGTGTTAATAGAATAGCAGAGCCAGATTACTTACCTTCACTACAAGATATACTGAGAGTTCGAGTCCCTACTACGGGTATTATAGAATATCCTTTTGATCTGGATAGTATCATTTTCAGGTAGGGTTTATCAACCATCTTTACTTTCCTAATATACTGCTTTTAGAATTGCATTTTGCAAATTATTTTGTATGGACAACTGCATAACAGTTCTGGTGATGATGTTTTGGTTGATGAAAATGATTACCAAATACCAAGGAAATTATTTGGATATGATTTGATTTTGGGCTGTTTCAGGCCAACTATTGGACACTTTTGCTAATCATTTCTGAGAGGGATGCCATTAGACCTATGTATCTGTTGATCCAATAACATTTTAAGGCCACTGGCGTGTATTACAAGCAGAATTTAGAATATTTTCTGTCCAAAACTTTTTATTTTGAAATTTATAAGAAATTTTAGGTATCCATTGTACATATTTTATGATAAGTGATATGTAATGTGTGGATATATTTTCAGGATGGTTGATGTTGGGGGCCAAAGATCTGAGAGACGGAAATGGATTCACTGTTTTGAAAATGTAACGTCCATTATGTTTTTAGTCGCCTTAAGTGAATATGATCAAGTTTTGGTAGAATCTGATAATGAGGTAAGAAATTAGAGAAAGATGATATTCATTTAACCCTATTTATTCCTTTGGGTTAAACCCCTCAAATCTGATTACCAGAAAACAGCACATTACATACCCTTAACTTAAAAAAAATATAGCCCTTTTGGTATAAAAAGATGAAGTCACCTTGTAATAGCCACTTGAATAAGATACTTGAATCTAAAGAAATCAGAATTTGACATCATTTGTATCCCTTTGTCAAACTTGAATTCATAACTTTTTTTTTCCAGAACCGAATGGAAGAATCAAAAGCCTTGTTCCGAACAATAATTACTTACCCTTGGTTCCAAAATTCATCAGTCATTCTCTTCTTGAATAAGAAAGATTTATTAGAGGAGAAGATTATGCACTCACACCTGGTTGATTATTTTCCTGAGTTTGATGGTAATTATGTTCTTTATTTTTACCTCTAGGGTGAGGAACAAGGGGCTAACCATATCTGTATCATATTTGGACATGACTTGGCACATTTCTTGTTTGAAAGTCGAATAACAAGCTTTTAATATTCAGTTTATCTACCGTGTGAGATTTGAATATATACCTAATCAAATGCCTTATTAGAAAGCACAATGAAATGGTGTCTACAATGGCAGACAACAACTAAGTAGTTAGAAGCACAGCCATTTTGTGTACGGCCATTCTGTCCAGAGCTCTGATTGGCTGTGTTTGCTAGTGTACAATCCATTCAAATGGTTACATTTACCCTGTGATACAAGAAAGGTACATAAACTGTCAAGGTATTGGACAGAGTTTGTAATAGCGTTGCATTCTGAAGATATAAGCTGACATTGAAAAAAGCAGAAGAATCATTTCTCTAATGCTGATTCGTTGTTTAATAGCTCATCAATAGTTTTTATTTTTCTCGTGGTTAACATGTATTATGTTGTGATGTTTTCAGGTACAAAGAAGGATGCTATCTCGGCAAGAGAATTCATTCTAAAAATGTTTGTAGAACTCAATCCTGATCCAGATAAAATCATTTATTCTCATTTTACTTGTGCTACAGGTTTGTGGGTTTTATTAATTTACTATTTTTCTTAAAATAACTCTTATCATATTTTTCCGTTTTGGATTCCCTAAGTCATACCACAGGTGGTTGACGTAACAGATCCCTTGACAGTCAAAACAAAATCAAAGAGTAGGTTGTTGCTGCTGTCCTGGTAATATTGTGTCCATGTTAGTTGATCAAAACTTGATTAATACAACTGAGACATCACAAAACACACCAAAACTAGGCAGATAAGTAGCTAAAAACGGAAATGTTCAACATTATTATTGGTCTATCTCAATTTTATTTGGATTTGGATGTGTTCTTGATGAAAAATCAAATCAATCAAGTTGGTTGACTGAATCTTTATCAGATGGTCTAGGTCAATGAACATGTAAGGTTCATTGCTTCATGGTTTTACTGTGCCCAACATCAGAAAAACAGGATCTCTTTTCAGTGAATGCATTCAATTTCACACATTTTAAACTCATTTAACCCAAATATTTCATGTTGAGTTTTAGATTCCAAACAATGTATATTCAAAGTTGTATATTTTCTGAACTATCGTCCCTCAAAAATGTTTGGAATTTCTTTTACAGATACAGAAAACATCCGCTTTGTGTTTGCAGCAGTAAAGGATACAATCTTACAGTTAAATTTAAAGGAATATAATTTGGTGTGAAAAGAGATCTATCTGGGGCAGCATCCATGTGGGCAATTAATGTATTTATTTGTGAAAGTGTCCTTGGTACAAAAAAAAAAACTCATGCATTGATAACTGTGGTTTCTACTCTAATTGTCATTGGATCTGACCACCACTCAAGATAAAGCATATATATTATAAAAATATGTTTTGACAACATCTATATATCAAGCCTCACTTTCCATTCTTCATTATGTAGTAGTTTTTTCTACTCGAAAACAAATATTCATCTACTATGATTGCTAAGTTGAAGAGATAATCAGTTGGTATTGTTTGTGCTTGTTTTTCTTTTCAATATGTACAGTTCAGATGGCTACATTCTGTTAATATCTGTTCTGCCTCCTATTTGACTTGTTGTTTTCATATTTTGTGACTAAAAAAAAAATATATCAGCTCTACTCAAATTTTAAAGTCACTTCTTTTGCCATTTATGTGAATGATATCATTTTTATTGAGGAAAATGATGGAAAAAAACTCTTTTTATGATATGAAATATATGTAAAATATATATAATTTGTTACCAAATATGGTCACACATCAACAACATGGTAGATAAAAGGTGTCATAATAATGTTGCAGTCATGACGTCATCTTTTGCTGTCGACAGCTAATAAGTGTTGTTGTTCAAGAAGCTGGAAGCTGGCTGGTAACAGGGAGTAAGAATTATGTTATCTATATAGTTGGTGTATTTAATACAGTGCAATTCTAGGTGAAATTTTTTAGTATGGAATCTTGGTGATGCAATGTTCTGTATGTACTATAGACTTCTGTAAACAGAAATTAGACCGGATCTGTGTATTTGGGATTTTTTGAAGCCACTGAATTCTCTCGGTGGGCTAATTGTGTGATTTTTGTTTTATTTATAAAGTTGTTGTAATGTTAATATTAGTCAAAAACAACTCTGTACATAGTAGAAAATTGTAGGCAAATTTTCATGCCTAAGATTGGTCAATTTTGACTATCTATTTTCTCAATGTGGTCATGTATTATGTCAATATCAGATGAAACTAGTATCGTTCTTACTTTGAAATGACCTCAACCAAAGTAGTTTACAGCCATTTTGAATCTCTTCCTCAACTTCATAAGCCGAATTTTGAAAAAGGCAATTATAGTTCAAATAAGCCTTCAAATCAAATTTATGGGTTAATAAATGATTCAAAGGCTTTGTTGAAATATTATAACCATCATCGAAATTCGACTTATTTAGTTCAGGAAGAGATTCAAAATGGTTGTGAACTACGATCGTGTGTGTTTTTTCCACGTAAGAACCAGACGTAGTTTCGTATGATGTCAATATCTTATCTTGTTTACATCAACATTGAATTTTTTGCATAACAAAGAAACACAGCATGTACTCGTGGAGTCGAAACTGCAGGATTGTGTACCAATCAGTTTGAATGATTATTGGATAATCATCATTGCATACTGAATGATGATTACAATGATTAATACTGATGATAATTGATGATTGTTACAACCCTTTCTGGCACTGGATGATACTATTACATGATTTACAACTGTAATGATTATTGATTAGAATGATTATTAATGATTGTGGATATATTTATTAATAATAATAATAACTACAAAATAATATTAATAATAACGATAATAATACTTTTTGTGTACTACAATTTTTTGTATAGCGTTTGTTTGTTTTTTGTATGAAGCAAAAGGATTTGTTTCATAATGCCAATCTTTTACCTTTGTCATTACATGTATATAAGCCTGTTTAGGATTCCATCTTACTCACACTGTATGAATATCTTATGGCTTATAAATACTTTTATTTTCTACTTTACATCTACATTGTGTCCAAATCTTTTCTGGGAGTAAATTTGTATGACTTTTCGACCCAATTAATAATAAACTTGTCGTATGAATTAGGAATTTATTTCATTGCAAAAAAGAAATCCTGCAACCCTAACCAGTACTTTAATATTTTGATATTAACAATATATAACTGAGCTTGTTTACAAAAAATGTTCACGACAGGATTTTTTGCAAAAATGTTAGTTCACCTATTTAGATCATAAAATTAATTACTCAGACTGCAGAATGGAAATAAAAATGGCCCAGAACACCGTACAGATAAAACTATGGACATTTTTGGTATGAAAGTAATAATTCAGTTTATTTAAAACAAAATGTATATATACAAGTGCTGTAACTTCATACAATTTTTTAAGACTGTTGCAAGGGAGGGGGTGTATTCTGCAGTAAGTACAAAGTCAAAGTTTTGCCAGTTAAGTGGGGTAGGGCCATTACAATTTTAACAATACTGGAATTTGATTTTCTGGTGCTCCGTTTAAAAGGGTTAAGGACAATATTAATTTTTTTTCGACCATATTCATAATCTTTAGGAAAATACAAATATCCTTTTTTTTTCTGATTTAAAATGTTACATGTACTCTTGTTTAAAAAAAATGGTTGATGTTTTATTGATTTCTAAATTCCCCTATTTCTAATAATTTTCTTAAAATCAGTGAAATGAATATGTAAAATATTTTTTTGTCTAATTTAGTTTATATTATGTACAGGGTATTAGCTGAATTGTCTTAAAATTTTGTTTTTTAGGGAAGTGAACAGGGAATTTTCACTCTGAAAATATGTACTTGACCAAAAATATGTACTTGATCAAAAATATGTACTTGACCAAAAATATGTACTTGATCAGTTCAGATTGATTATTGAGGATAATGTTTAAAAAAAACCTTCATATTTCAGACTCAAGAATTCAAGAAGAATTTTTGAAAAAAATAGAGTCAAATTATGTTCTTATGAGAATTCTTCCATAGAAAAAATCTATAAAAAAGTACAAAATTGATGACAGTGTGTCTCTGTGTCCTTTGATACATCATAAATAAGCTGAATTTTAAGAACAGATCATCTTTCGTCTAAAAAAAAATTATAAATTTTTTGTGGTTTTTTGGGGTTTTTCAAATTAAAAATCTACTGGGTTAATGAATTTCAGATGTAATATATCTTCTAAAAATGGTTGTGTGATATTACAGTTGTGTTAACTATTCATCTTGGCCCTGTTTCTCAAAATATCTTGCCACTAACATTTTTTAAATCTCCTTTCTGAAAAAAATCTAGGGTAAGAGTTATTGAGAGCATGGGGTCAGAACTTTTGAAATTATTTCATTAATATGTTTATCATCACAGTACTTGCTTATATCTTGTACTCAAACACAAATGCTTTTATCAGGGTGTATATTATGTATATGCCTCTTAGTTTCAATAATTCTTGAATAATTATATCTCAAAATCTGAAGAAATTTAAGTATATATGATGCTTTTTAACATGTGGGATATGCATACTAAACTAACTCAAGTTTAAAAAAATGAATAATTCACCTCCAAAGACAAGAGAGTAAAGTTGGAATCATTAACAATATACAAAAATTCAATTGACAATGTTTTAAATCCAGTTAAAAAATGCTTTTTTTTTTTTTTTATTTAGGATATCCATATATGTAAAACAATTCTGCAGAAAAATGTCATTGAAATTCTAATACTATGTTATGGTTATATTACAATAAAGCAAGGGAAGGAACTCTAGTATAAATAGGCCTATCTACATTGTAAGAAATTTTCACGGACACTAAAATATCTGCCAACACTAAATATAAGTTATATAATGATATTTTTAAACTGCTCAATCTTCAAAGCTTCATGTCATTTGTATAGAATGAATGATTTGTGTATATTTTTTACGTAATCCATTGCCTAAATATAATGTCCTATTGAGGCTTTTGTCTATTTATTTATCTCTTCCCTATTGGCTTACACATGTATATGTAAACACTCTTAATAAGGCAAAATTTATATTGATTTTAAGCTTATGTTCATTAGATTTAAATAGTTGCGAAGAATTTTTAAGAAAATTGTTTCACTTGTGCATTTGTAACATTGCAATGGCTATCTTGCATTTAAGGACATTGTCAAATAGGTATTAAATCACAACTGACCCAAAAGGCAGTGAAAAAATTAGCAAATTTTAAAACTGTTAATAAAATGGACAGCAGATTTTTATTTTTCTGAGCACAATTAAGAAATTTTAAGGAATAATCAGTGACCAACAATTATTATGGAACCAAGCTTTTTTCAATATTTTCGTACCTTATGGTTGAATTGATTTCAGTAATTATTCCATCAAATTCTATTAGTTTTCTCAGTTACATGAAAGTCTATGATTCATATTATTAGCAGTAATAATTTTCCTTCATTGCTCACCTCCTGTTTGGCCAGTCAGTGTGGTTGGGTTTTAATACCTCTCCAACATGGCTATAATGAGATTCAATATGAATCAAAACCTTAATTGGAAAATTAATTTCAAATTCATTCTTGTACATTTTTCAGCAATATGTCTCACTCTATGTATCTGTTGAAAAAGGGTAGTGCTTGGCCTTATAGTATATGGCGAATACTGAACAGTAATAAAAAAAATGTGCTGGTTATATCCTATTTTAGGAGATGTATTCAATATAAGCTATGTTGCCTTAAAGCTGTACCCTCACTTTAACAAATTATTACAAATGTTTTGATTAATGGAAATTTTTAATAATGCTAGCTTAAAAAAATTAAAAAACATGATAAAATAATCAAAGGCTTTATATGGTCACATTTATGAAAAACTCTTAAAGGACATGTTTGGTTTGTGAAAATATTTTGCAAGATTTGAAAAATTTAAAAGCCACTCTTGGCTTCCCCAGCATCTTAGTTTTACTGTCCATAATTTATAATAAGCTGTTTTAAATACTCTTTTACTTGTGGTTTTGTGTGGCAAACTGACATTATATGTGACTATTATATCAAGTAAGAAAGTGGTTTTAGTATGTATGATTTTTGTGCAATCTATCCATTTTGTTATAATTTCTTTATTTCACTGATTTTTACAATATCCAAAAATTGGTGCTCAAAATCATGATAACTAGTAGGGGTTAGGATGATCTCATTGTCAAGTCAAGATTATCTGTGAAGTTAAGATTATCTGAAATATTTGCGAAATTAAGATAATCTGAAATATTGGTCAAGTTAAGAGTATCTGAAATATTTATCAAATTAAGATGATCTGTATTTTTTTTTTATGTTAAGATAATCTGAAATATTTGTCAAGTTAAGATAATCTGAAATATTAATCTGAAATATTTGTCAAGTTAAGATAATCTGAAACATTTGTCAAGTTAAGATTGGTGAAGTTAAGATAATTTGGAATATTTGTCAAGTTAACATTATCTGAAATATTCTTATAGGACAGGATTTTTTAAAATTTAAGTTTAGTTACAAGGCCCTTTTTTGAAAAAATCTTGCAAAAACAATTTTTTCTTCAGACTATTTCAATATTTTTATGAAAATGGGGTTTGGTTTCACATTTTGAAAAGAAAACTTGACACGCGTAAATTTCCCTTAGAAATGAAATTCTTAGATTAAAACATGAACTTGAATAAGTGTGTAAGAAAAAAAATAAATGTTTTTTGCGATTTTCAGGGTTAAACTTTAAGGTCAATGGGATTTTGTGTTTCATAATGTGCTGTATTGACAAATACACCGAACACAAAGTACAAATTTTTCACAGGGTTTCCCCTTTAATCAAATCTTTTTGATGGAAGTTTAAATTGTCAAGGGATTATTTTTTTTTTCTTTTGATTATTGACCATTGCTTAAGATTTGTGAGCATGAATTTTGATATTGTACATATATATATTATATAAACTATTAATGGATGAATTATACAGTTTTTAATTTGATACACAATTGAATTTTATGGTGACATAAATGTACTTCTAAGGTTGAAAAGTGATTGAAACTAACTTTATTTCTATCCTCCATTTACCTACAAATCTTTACTTTTTTTGTACATTTCATCAATATCTATTAGATGTAATGAAAAGATTCATTATAAAACTACATGTATCTTATGTATCTTGAGACAAATTCAGATTTTTTTATTTAGTTTCTTACAGAACATAGCTTTAATGTCATAACTCTTAGGTAAAGCTTATGTTAAAATCAAAACACAACCGATGAGGAAATTAAAAGCTTACATGTAATGTGTTATGTGTTTTTTATTGTCAAATTGTCTTCATCATTCAAGAATTTGTGTACGTTTGCCCCAATTAGCCTAAATCTGTGTGCTGCAGTGGATCTTCGACAGTTGGAAATTGTCTGTCAAAATTTCCCTCAGAGTACATTGCATTGTGTTGTCTGTCTTCATTAGCTCAATTAGGTACAGAATGTAAAACTTCACTCAGTTTTATTTGAGCCCAATTCTACTTGTGAATGCGTATTTTCCAATGGGGAAAGGGTAGGGGGTATGTTAACTCTGCAATAAAAACTGATCCCATACAGCCTATGCGTTTCTCAACCCTTCATCCCTTTGGGTGATTCCCCCTAGCTAATATTGTTTATTTGGTATATTCTAATCTAATATGGACATAGGACAGATGTAGGTGCTGGAATAATCGGACAAGCAGATTGCCATAATGATACCAATTCGTCTTAAAGGAAGATGTTTTTAGAAGCATAGAAATTTGGCCCAGGAATAAACTTCCTTGCAATTGAACTGATTACAACATCATATACAAAGTAATGATTATTATATCTCGTACACTTGAACTAAGTATAATATCGCATGCACTTGATCTAATTATAATATCACATACATTGAACTAATTATAATAACACATACTCTTGAACTTATTATAATATCACCTGACACTTGAACTGGTTATAATATCACATACACTTGAACTTATTATAATATCACATACACTTGAACTTATTATAATATCACATACTCTTGAACTTATTATAATATCACATGCACTTGAACTAATTATAATAACACATACACTTGAACTTATAATATCACATACACTTGAACTTATTATAATATCACATACACTTGAACTTATTATAATATCACATACTCTTGAACTTATTATAATATCACATACTCTTGAACTTATTATAATATCACATACTCTTGATCTAATTATAATATCACATACATTGAACTAATTATAATAACACATACTCTTGAACTTATTATAATATCACCTGACACTTGAACTTGTTATAATATCACATACACTTGAACTTATTATAATATCACATACTCTTGAACTTATTATAATATCACATACTTTTGAACTAATTATAATAACACATACACTTGAACTTATTATAATAACACATACACTTGAACTTATTATAATAACACATACACTTGAACTAATTATAATAACACATACACTTGAAATAATTGTAATATCGCTTACATTTGATCTAATTATAATATCGCATACACTTGAACTAAATATAATATCACATACACTTGAACTAATACACAAAGTAATGATTATTATATCTCATACACTTGAACTTATTATAATAACACATACACTTGAACTAATTATATCACATACACTTGAACTTATTATAAAATCACATACACTTGAACTAATTATAATATCACATACACTTGAACTTATTATAATATGGCATACACTTGAACTAATTATTATATCTCATACACTTGAACTAACTATAATATCACATACACTTGAACTAATACACAAAGTAATGATTATTATATCTTATACACTTGAACTAATCATAATATCACATACATTTGAACTAATTATAATATCACATACATTTGACCTGATTAAAAAATTATTTACACTTGAACAGATTAAAATATCACCTGACACTTGAACTGGTTATAATATCACATACACTTGAACTAATAATATCACATACACTTGAACTGACTATAACAACACAGGCACTTGAACTAATTATAATATCACATACACTTGTACTAATTATAATATCACCTGACACTTGAACTGGTTATAATATCACATACACTTGAACTAATAATATCACATACACTTGAACTAATTGTAATATCGCTTTCACTTGAACTGGTTATAATATAACCTACACTTGAACTGCTTTCAATATCATATACAATGGAACTTAATATAATATCACATACACTTTTAACTGCTTTCAATACCATATACAATGGAACTTAATATAATATCACATACACTTTAAATGATTACAATGTCACATACAATGGAACTTAATATAATTTCACATACACTTTAACTGATTGCAATATCATCAACGGTCATTGCTATTGAATTCAATTCGAATGTATTCAATTCATTGTGTGACTGGGGCAACAAACACCATGGGTGATCTAGCAGGCAATTGTCAGACCGGGAGTTACAAAGCCATGTAAAAAGGAGGAAGCTATTCAGACTATGAGCATTTAACTCAAACCCTTTTGTGCAGAGACAGGTCGGCGCCGTAAGAACCTTCCGTCTGTTTTGTCGACATCCTACACGAGGCCCCATCATAACTGATGTCAATCTATATGTTATAGGAACCATACTATAAAGACTTTTGCAGTTGGGCGTTTCCTTCTTGCTTTCAAACATCATTATTTGGAATATGTTGTCCTGTACTATCTTCCTCTTAGTTTGTAATGGAATACCTTCATGTAGTCCCTTCATGTACAAGAAAATCAAAAATGTACATTTATGAACAGGTTGCATCCGACATGCACGAAAATGAAATGAATTGAAATGCAGTTATACGTTCTACTTTACGATGAAGCTTATCCCACGCGATCTTAAAACGTTACGTTCTGTGATCACAATAACAAAAGATAACAAAACTGAAAGAAACACCAGATCCCTTTAGGGACAATGCCCCCGACTTGATTTTAACCTTATGGTTAGCAATTATGCAATCTAGTTACATAAGGGTTGATTAAATAACACTGGCCCGCATTATGGATACAGTTCAATTGGAAGTAAGGTCGTGATAATAGGCAATTGAATGATGGTGGTAATTTGAAATGATTACAAGCTAGTTAACCTTCGCTATAGGATGGTCGTGTTTTTGTTTGACATTACCGTTTGGAGTTTACTTCTACTTATATTAATCGTGTGCGTTTCTTTTTTCATTCAAATGAGGTAAGTGTACTGATTTGAGGCAACACTAGTGCAAAATAAACAGCTTCATAAGGTATTTTCTATGAAGTATGTCTCCTGTAACAGTAGCTTGTGAAAAAGCTCAAGGGCGTGATCATTGTGAGAAGGGTATGTTTCTCAAATTTGCAAATCATCTCAATGTGAAAAAGTGAACTTCTGAGGCCAATTTTTTGAAAGCATGTTGGTGAAAAATATGCATTTAGCCTTATCAGATACAGACCTTTACGTCAGAGGTTAAACTAACAAACATTGATGACTATTCGCACACAATGATGCAAATCTATTATGAGGGAAATTTGATTAGGTTTGAGTTATTTTCAGAATTGATTTTGTTTTGTTTTCTTCAAATAGTTCAATTTTAAGGTCTTGGAAGTATGCGGATATAAATGAATGATTCGGGATTGCTGTTGCCATGTTGGATTTTACTTAGTTTAAGAATCCATATTCGATATGAAAATATTGTTTCACAAGATTCCACTATAATTGCATATCTGTTCTGTTAACGGTGCGGTATGTGCGTCGCCATAGATAAGTATTCATGTATCTATATATTGTAATTAATTCCTTTTTTCTGTTGTGATATAGATTGATACCGTTTTACCCTTCCAGGAAGTCGAAGAGAAGAAGTAAAATAAAGCCAAAGGATGTGGTAGTCTTGTATCAGGTCGGAAGAGGAGTTGAAGCACCAAGTCCTTCCCCGTTTCCCCTCAAATTGGAAACTTTTTTGAGAATGCACAAAATTCCATATACGGTAGGTCATGTGCAATATCAAATCAAAAATCAAAAACTGTAACAAAGGACTCTGCTTGTTTACTTTATTTTTTAGAAAAATGCAAGCTATTCGTATGTTCAGCACCTAAGGTTGAAAATCGACTACCAGAAGGAATCTACAGTGTTTAATAATTTTGTTGAAATTTTGCATGTATGCTGGTATTTTGAGCTTCCCACAATTCTGTGGGCTGTACTCGCACACAAAGCGATTCAACGATATTATTTCAGAATAATTCGTACAATGCCTTTTCAGAACAATTTTTATATTAGAGATCAGAACGATTCTTATAATACTATTTCAGAACGATTCTTATAATACTATTTCAGAACGATTTTTATATTAGATCAAAACGATTCTTATAATACTATTTCAGAACGATTTTTATATTAGAGATCAGAACGATTCTTATAATACTATTTCAGAACGATTTTTATATTAGATCAAAACGATTCTTATAATACTATTTCAGAACGATTTTTATATTAGAGATCAGAACGATTCTTATAATACTATTTCAGAACGATTTTTATATTAGATCAAAACGATTCTTATAATACTATTTCAGAACGATTTTTATATTAGAGATCAGAACGATTCTTATAATACTATTTCAGAACGATTTTTATATTAGATCAAAACGATTCTTATAATACTATTTCAGAACGTTTCTTATATTTTTTCAGAACGATTTTTATATTATTTCAGAACGATCATACCAGTAAGTTTTCCAGTAAAGGTAAAACACCATGGATACAATATAATGGTGTCTCTGTAGCCGATTCTCAACTTTCCATCAATTTCTTACGAAAAACATTCAATCTGGAAGATGAAGATCTCACGCCAGTTGAAGAAGCCACTGGTAGAGCTTTTCAGAAGATGACAGAGGAAAACTTGTATTGGTAAGTTCTCCACCAGCTATTTCGAATAAAGCTGATATAACCGTTTATCATTGTTCAGCTATTTGAAATACATAACAGTTCAATGCCTTCTTCAAAATACCCTTTCTTTTCATATCAATGCTTACTATTTTTTGGGCTACATTCTACTTTTGAGATTCAGACTCAGCCAGTTATTGATGTAATAGCTATCACAAGGCAAGGCCTTAGCTTTGGAGATCGACCCCACTTAATTCGATTGATCTGGGTTTTATTTATCAACAAAGGAAATATAACACTTAATTGACTTTGAGGAACTCTCAGTTGTAAACGCTCGCGGTTGTGTTACTGAATGTAAAGGTTGTAGGATTGATATTGTGTGTTGGAACAAAGGATATCAACAGGTTCGTACAATTTAGTGAGCCTAAATGATAATTGAAATAAAGCGCATTATATACATTTTCCGATTACATGTATTAAAATACCACGTTTGTATTGCAGGACGATGTGCCATTCGTTATTTATAGAAAACCAAAGTCGTGTTGGTGAAGTGCTACCATTATATACTGGTATTAAACTAAAGATATTGATATTCATATTATCACGAGTATTACGATTAGAGATGTGGGGTCATGGTATTGGTCGACATTCTAGTAAAGATATCGAACAGATTGGTTCTGAAGATCTTCTAGCTTTGTCAACTTTTCTAGGTGAATTTAAAACACTTTGCTTCTCAACTTTTCCAGTTAATGAAAGTAGATCTAAATAAACAGCTGATCAACGGGGATCTATCAGCTGATGAAAGTAGGTCTTTAAAAACAGCTGATTAAAGTAGCTCTATACCAAACAGCTCATGATAGTAGGTCTGTAAAAACAGCTGATTAAAGTAGGCATATAACAAAGACTGCTGTAAAGTATCATGGGTGGTTGAAATTCAGCTACATCAGCTGGTAATGCTGATATTTTCATTTATCATATATTTCTTAATGAATTGACCAATAATTAGAATTTAAAACCATTTGGAAATGAACATCGACAGTCACCCTGTTTCTGAAACGATTTTCCTAGATTGCTGCACTAGAAGAAGTGTGGTTATATCAAAAAATCACATCACCAAGAGTGATTATTTACCCTCAAATTATGTATTTAGGTGAAAAGAAGTATTTTCTGGGTGAGGAACCACGGGAAGTAGATTGTGCTATTTTTGGAATGTTGGTTCAGATAGCTTATCATATGCCTGGTACACCACACGAACGCCTTATACACGGTAATCAACTTATATTTTTCATTCAAATTTTAACAGCAATTTTGTTATCATTTCAAGCCTCATATCCAATCCAGCCTATCAAACATCGGATTTTATATGCGAAATGTGTCAATGAGCTTTTAGTACAGGTTTTCGCTTCAGAATATTCCAGTTTTATTTCTCGCTACTCTTTAGTGATTTTGTTTACTTTTTTTATGCGCTTGAAGTCCTTATATTATTGTATGCTATCTTTTTTGATTTTGCAGACAAATACAGAAACTTGTTGGAATATTGTGAACGAATAAAGGCAAAGTACTGGCCAGATTGGGAAGATCGATGTTTTAATGCCGATAATGTTACAGACGACATGGGACATATCTATCATAAGCCAAATGGAATGGCTTCTTGAACGGTGTAAAAGTCACACTTGAACGCTTTTGAGGGACGTATGTTAGTCCATGGCGTTTGTGGTCGGTCATGCAGACTTGCATGTTAATGGAATGCTTGTGATTTGGTGTCGTTTTTTTTGGGGGGGGGGGGTGGGGGGGAATGGTTATGTCACTATATCAAAGATATCAGGGGCGGCATCTGTAAAATTTGAAATAGTAAGCAGTATCATCTCATTGAAATACCAATCTAGATATTTTGTTGTGATGCATCGTATACATCTCTAATTACAGACAGGCACATGCCTGGGGACGACGGGGGAAACATGTCGAAACGTTGCATAAAACTTTAACTAGTGATTGTTGTTCCATAAAGCTGTGTCTATATATCGTACTCACAATTCCTAAATGCCATTCAAAGACTTTGTTTTAACATTGTAACATTATTTTTGTTTTATGTTATGAACTTCATTTTTTAAAATCTTTTTAACTTTAATTTACTCTGATGTATATCTATATTACATATAGATATATCAAAATAAAACCAAGCAAATCGGTGAAAATTGCTGTATAACTCTACTTTTTTTAAGGTGTTTAGAAACGACGTTTGAAAAACTCTCAGAATATCCTTAATCTTGTGGCATTTTAAACTGCGTTCTAAAAGCTCCAGGCAATAACCAAGGTCCACGATAAAAATCCCACAGTTGAAAATCAGAAGAAGCAACGCTAATAACTCTATGCTGGCAAAAACAGTTCTTGATGCATGGAATTGTCATTGGCATTACAAACAAGTTCGATTAGAAGCGAAATATATGACAATATACGACCATTTAATTTTTAGTGCTTAAAAGAAAAGGCAAAATGTTGTTGATAACACCCCTTAACTAGTTACTATTATACCTTTTTCTATTGAAACCATCACATAATTAGACGCTTGTTTCCACAAAATGATACTTTAAACAAATTAAATTAACGTTTTTCCTCCAAAAGACGCGTGACATACAATAAATTAACTATTGACATAGAAGACATAACTTAGTAACTATACTAGGTCACTTGAAATTATAATGACGACAGTTTTTAAAAATAAGTCGAGGTAAAGGTTTTGTTTACTACGCCGAATATTTTACCAGCGTACATCACACGCACACACTGGATTTTATGACTATTGTATGTGCGAGATAAAGGCTATAAAAGTCTGTTGTGATCGAGAATTTATCGATTTTCATCAGTTTATGGTTTCTGTTCTCGGCCTGCAAGATATTCGATCAATAATCTACCAGTCATAGCTGATGACGTAATTACAGTGCCAGAATCCGGTATACTAGGACTAATATTTATGTTATATTTTCTTATATAAAAGGTGAGTATATAAGTAATATTTATAAGTTATTTTATTGATATACTGACCACAATATTAACCTGTATCTACTCATCTACTGACCTAAATAACAATGTATCTAGATTTATTGATTGAGTATATAGCTCACCGTTAGAACGACCAGCCGGCTACTTGTAATTTAATTTCGCTATGTCAGCTTGAATAACGCCAATATATATTCTACGTAGTTAAGTTGGCTTTGAACAGTTTTACATCTACCCTGGCCCCCATGCACCCCCTCTCACCAGACAAAAAACTGTTATTCCAGATATTCATTTGTAATGTCCGTCCTTTTAAGATCTGTATAACCTAATTGACATTCCATGATAGGTCATCGTGATACCGGTACCTTCGAAGGTATGTCTCACAGATGCCTTCCTAAACCGCAGTACCGGAGTAAGTTCATCCCTTTCTCTCCAACCAAATGGCCCAGTACTTGCTCTGGAAAAAGGTCGAGATAGCACCTAAGAAAGGCCAACCCATTTCCCTCTGTCAGTGAAGCAGTTCAGAGGGACTGGCACGATATTATTTTGTAGGAGACTCTGTGTGCAACAGGTTGTGCATGTTAAGAATCTTTTGACAGCTGGAGAACGAACAAGTGTATGCTAATGTGACTGTACTGGTTAGAATTTATCATTTATCAATGGTTCTACCAAGCCTCATTAGCCTGAGCTAAAAAGAAGGAACGATGTTCACTGAAAATGAGTTTTTACTTTATACATGGAAGAATATAGTTGACCGTTTAAAAGATGCCCGTTAATTCTAGACTTTCAAATATCTTTTGTGTAGCAAAGCTTAATCTCTCTAAATATCACGTTTATTACTAATATTAAGTTATGAAAAATTAATACATTGCTATGGCAAGGACAGACATATAACCCAATTATTTCCTTTACTGACGTTCGTTGACCAAATTTTACTGGCAATTCCGGGGCATCCGGAAGTCTATCCAGAGCTAGTGTACCTTCATCTTCACAACAATTTGTACAAAACAAATTGGCCAGCAATGGTCGCGAATAAGAAATTTGAATCGATAATGTTTTTTATGTTGGTCATTGTTGAGTCACAGATGGCAATTGTTGCACATTTTCTAATGAGCTGGTAGATCATATGAACATTGACAAGTGCAGAAACCACGTGCTGCCACAATACAAAAATAATTGTGCTAATCAAAGATCTCTCTCTATCGTTTATCGAAGAATTAAAAAAATAGGATAAATGGAAAATATCAGCTGAGGAACGAAGGTACCATAGGATACCCCTTTGTGGGGTAGAGGGGGAGATTTTTACAAATTTAAATATGCTTCAGAAATCATGTCCTTAGAAGCAATCTTTTCATCCTCAAACCTCAAATTTTTAAGTTTGTCCAGAAAAAAGGGGGATTCCTTTAAAAAGAGGAAGTGTGGGATCCGCGAACGGTTACAAAAAACACGACTGTTAAATATTACTTTAACAACAAAATAAAATAGTTTCTTTTCTGTTAGAATTTTTGGACTATTCTCGATTAATTTAGTATAATATCATAATGACAGGACTCGCTATGCAGAACGAACTAAACAATTAAAGGCGTGGTGCAACCAAACTACATTTTGATAGGTCGACCTTTCAATTATACTTGTAGATGCTATTGCTTACCCTGCTTAGACTTACAAACGCCATAACACCATGATTTCAGACCTTTTGGACTCGTCATGACCCATTTCTAAATGAATCCCTCGCACACCAACAGAAAAGTGTATAACTTCGGCTTTAAGTTCGCACACCAGACAGAAATGTCAGAAAACACTACTGAAATCATAAAAAGGTTGCAAATTGTCCAAGAGGTCTCTGAGGTACTCCTTGTGGTGTTCCATGGATATAAAGGCTATAATGCCACGATTTCCAACCGGGAATATTAGTGTACCTCAAGGTTACCAATGTACACCATAGGGGTACCAGACAGTATTGAAACATCAGTGATATTTAACGAAGGAGCTGAAATTTAAGAAAACGTTTACTTAGTTGTTCGGACGAGACGATTAAAACGAAATCCCGTGTGCAACAACACAATCTATCTGTTTTAAATCACTCGGAAGTTAAATACACACTGATTCATATATCTGAAGGCCAAAACCAAATAAACACTGATCTATAACAAAATAAATCCGGAAAAGCAGTACCATGTGGTCGGCCTGAGCAGTTGGAATCAGTGATCTTCCAGCTGCTAGTGGTAGGTTAATATGTACATGTGAATATTTCACTTTGACAGATCCGATAAGAGGTTGCTGTTCGGAATATATTTTAACAAAAAGTAGCTTTTCGTGTGTATCTTGGATGAGGTCAACTAAATTGATTAAAAGTTATTGCCCTTGACTTATTTAAAAAATATAACAGTAAGTAATTGAAACTGAATAGTTTTGATTGGATTTGATGAGACAAATTAATGTGAATGTGCAAGATCTCTGATTAGTTACATGTATTACTCAATAATTGAGATGGAGATGTAATGATATAATATTTTCATCGAATGATCCTCATTAGTGGTTTCTTTCGAGTAATTACATGCAAATTGGAATATCAGCTTCAAAGTTGTAATGATGACTATACGGTGTTGATAGAAATACGATACAGATCACACATCATTGCACCATTTTAATATTTGTTTTATTAAATTGGGCAGTTTTGGGGTAAAGACTTCGGGTATTTCCTTTTTAAAGTTGCTCTGGGGGACGAATGGTTATTTCGAAGTTAGGCCAGAAAACTTCTCCTTAGTTATCTACACAAAATCATTCTAAGACTATCATTACTGTTGTGCAGCCGATTTTAATCACTGTAAAAAAATTTAGAAATAGAAATTATCTAAAAATTAAATTTACTCAAGTAATCAGAATGCATAATACATGTATGATAAAATGCCCCTCTCCGCCGCTTCTAAAGAAATTAACCCCGTTTCGGTGGACGGAACACACCTGCTCGGTTCTTTAGGTTAGTGGATGCCAGAATAGAGGCTAATATGATAACACACGGTTGCTTTATATCGCTATCATTATACAGTACATTATACCCTTCTCAGTACACTGCACACCATGGGGTTGGTTATTGATAGACGTTAGGGTACAGACTAGGCGTCCGTACATGCTTATTTCGTTATTTTGAAGGATTTATTTTTGCAATTAGAGTGACTTATTTATTAACAACATGGGTAAGTAGTATAATATATGAAAAATTGATTATTTTTGCGGTATTTTAGCCAACCAAACTATGGCAAAGGTATGACCCAAATACCGAATACATGATAAGGATAAACGTATGTTTACATTTTTTTGTATTAAAAATCTTCCTGTTATGTTCTTGCACGCTCTGGAATGACTGAGGCAAAGCTTTAGTCTTTGTCTTATCATTTGAAATATTTCATTTTCGTCTATTTATATACAACAATGATTGTAATACATTTAAAAACAATGTAGCAAATTGAGAGACTGTTTCTGATGTATTCAAGATGGCGGAGGGTCAAATGTGGTTTATCAACATGACGTTATTTACTACTATTTTGTGTATGACTACTCATGCGTCTTTTCAAAGAAGATCTATTACGTACTTTAACCCGGCTTATAGATTGCAATTGCTCTTATACGTAATATTATTCGTAAGAGAAACCCTGGTTTCGTTTCCAAAAATTTTTCTAAACAAAGGGAAATAACTCAGTGATGAGTAATTTCTTAATTTAATTTTTACTCAGTACTACAGCTGTAAATATATTTGTAGTGACATCAAAATGTATCTATTAAAACCCTCAAAAATAAGTTTTGTATTTGACCTTTTGTGCCTTATTAGGCCCGAAAATGTTAATCATGTAGTACGGTATGCAATGAGGGAAACAGTAGCTACTCTTCTCATATGATGAGATAGTCATGTTACTAGCCTACATTTAGAATTTTCCTGGGGCATAGTTGAACTGTCTGAAAAACCTCATATGTTATTCCACTTGGAAATAAATGCATTGGTTTGCCTGATATTGCACCGACAACTTATGGTAAACATATTTATATGGTAGAGCTTAAACACCATGATACACCATTTACGGAGGATAACCATATCTTGGTCTCAGAAAAGGTCATTGTTCAGCGGAGCTCACCAGTTATAGTTTTCACAGCTTACCATCAAATTTTAGCCTTCTTAACCATGCGTACAGTATCCTTAATTATCTGTGTTTAAAAATTACATTGACGAATCATCTTTTCTAAACTCAGCCATGTTGGTAGGACTGTTTAAGACTGGATAGTCAAAAAGTATCCCTACATGGTATTTCCTATTATTAGAGACCTTATTAACAAGACGTATTTAGGTATCCTCATTTCCAGGCAGTTGATTAACTAGTGAAAGACAATAACAAAGAGTGAAATTCCTAATTTGAAGTATTAATTTAGAGATTTTCAGCAGATAAAGTACCTCTGAAGTATATTTACATATATTCACCACTCAATCAACCCCCAAAAATGGTGAACTTTGACCTTTAAGACCCTCCTACCGAGGCATGTTTTTTTCCAAACTTTCAGAATGATATGATTATTATAAATAAAAGAATATGGCCTACTTTAAAGTTTGTTCAAGATTATAATTGAGTAAATATTATTTAGAATGATATATAAATATCAGTTGGTGTTAAATAGATTAAATTTCACTATTTACTTTCAAATTCTTTTTACTTGAAAATGAGGGGATATATGGTGCTCACTTCGTCCATACCAGGCTCCCTTTGAGGGTAAAGAAAGGGGATTCTATATACAATTATAAAGTATTTATAAAGTCTTTAAATGACATTAAGAAGTAGATAGAACATTAAGTAAGTAGGAACACTATTATGGATATACTACTCCTTTCATGATAAAGATTCCTGTATGGGAATGGAAATGTTGCTAAAATTAAAGAAAGGAGTAGTATATTCATTTTGTTCCTATTTATTTAATATTAACATAGTGTTTGTGATATTTCAATGAAATTCCATTAAAAGCATGTCTAAGTTCTGTTGAATATTGTTCAGTTAGTATATTTCAAATATAAAAATAAGAAGTGAATATTATCTGGTGGTACCAATTCATCATAATCATCTGAAAGGGACTGGATAAGGTAACTCTTTATTACCGTTTCAGGAATTCTTGTATAATATTTATAAGGCTGACAATCACTAAAAAAAATACAAACTTACAACAAAAACAATATACATGATTGGAACATAACAATTTACAATACAGTACAATGCAATTGGGACTTAAAAAAAAAGTATATATGGCAGATTTCTTTGGTGCTTGTTTGATATATTAATAGAATATGGAATAAAGAATTTTATCTCTATTTGTACTGATTTTGGTATATAGATACTGTTGTCCCAAATGCAGTGGTTTGAATTCTGAGTTTAAAAAATGGTTCAGATTGTCAACTAAATAATGAGACAGTAATAACTTTTAAAAAGTTTAGACCTCAAAGCTAGAACTAAATATGCTTATTTGAACCCTTAACACCCCTAAAACAATGGACATTCAAAACAGTGTAAATTTTATAATTTGTATTCAAACTAATCATAATAATCACACATAATAATGTAACTATAATCATGAAGCTGTAATAAGATGCTCAGTGGGAAGACTGTTACTGTTTTCCTTGGAATCACTTAATAACTGGAAACAATTATATGGATAGCAATTACTTTATTAAAGCTTGCATGATTCATACCTCAGTTACTAAATGCCACTCAAGGAAGGATTCATATAATATCCTCCCCCAAAAAAAATCTCCTACAACAGTTGTCCCTATGTTGGGAACCAGGGAGTTAAAATATTTCAAATATAGAAATAAGGAGGGAATATTTCGCTATATTTTAGGTCAGAAGAATGGTAGACACAGTAACGGCCATCTAAATGGTGAAGATGTTGATGGTAATTTAGAACAACCCACACAAGCAGAACCAGTTCAGGAAACCTTTTCAGCAACAGAAACTCCCCAACAGCACAGCACATCTTCTAAACCCATTCCAAAGAAAAAATCCAAACACAAAGAAGAAACCATGAAGAAAAGTCCAAGAGCATCCTCTAAAGAAAAGAGTGTGGAGATTGAGAATCCTGTCACACCAACAATTATTGGTGAACGTAAAAGCCAACCCCATGCCACATCAACTCCAGTGACAAATGGTGTTTATGTTACAGAGAGTACACCATCTAACTTATCTGGTTGGTTTTCATCCTTCAATATCTTCTTGTGGCCATTTTCAAATTGTATACCATCTGTTTCTATCTGATGCAATCCTGTATACAGTTGGGCTTGGCTTTTAATAATTTTTGTACATTATTTTAGTTGTAATTTCCAGAGTGTTCTTGAAAATTTATATTTTTATCTTCAGCTAACATATCTTCCTTAAAACTCAAATTTGTTGAAAATTTAGGAACCAATATAATACTCGAATTTGTTGCATTGTGAATCTGATTTTCAAAATATTTTCACCATAACATTCAGTTTCAACTCCCTTCTTTTAGACTTAAAAAACCTATATTTCAAATCAAAATATACTTAGTAGATCTGTTCATATTCCCATTTTAAGCAATACATGTGTCCTTACTAGTGATCAAAAAAGAAATTTGCAAACAACCGATACAAGAAAAAAAACTTAGCTAGTTTCCAGACAGGCTATTGGAAGACATAGACAAGTTATAAATAAAATAAGAGACAGGAACACCCTATACCATGTTTTATATTCTAAAGAGTTTATTAATTGAATTATAGGTATTGATTCTGGATCAGGTACTGAAGATGAAACAGATGATGAAGATTACAATGCAGAACAACAGGTTAGATAGTTTTACTGAATAACTAAAACATCTTTAGGGGATGCAGGTGTCTCAATATATGCTTTACCAGCTGATAGAGCATTATTTATATAACTTTTTGGAATAAGCATCTGAAGCCCTCCTGCAATTGAGCAACAAACATACCATGCCAATTTGGACTGTCAGGACTTCCAGGGCATAAATAACATTGCCCAATGCAGTTATAACCATTGGTACCATTATAAATGTTGATACTGCAGTCAGAACACTTTGAACAGTGTTTATGATTGATGAGCATAAATTATCAGGCAGTCAAAAAGCAAAATTTGACTGAACATGATTATAAGAAAAATTTTTAAAGCAGAGGGTAGTTATGCACCAAAATCTCAAAAAACAAAACATGAAGACCTGCATTTAATTAGACCATGCCAATTGGTATAGAATGTGAAATTGGCTTAATATATTAACAATATTAACTATGTGGAATTGACAATTCAATAGCAATTTTTTAATTTACTTACAGGATAATAAATCTCTAGATAGAAAGCCAGAAATTAATTTCGGAAGATTTTATAATAAAAGTTATCTAAAAGATAATGAAGATAAAGGTTACTTAAAAAGATCTTCACAAAATCTGATAGAAAAAAAATCTACTATTCCGTCTTTTATAAAACCAGGTAAGTTATTCCCCTGGAAACCAGACAAAAGGTACCCCTGTCACTCTTAAAGAAATTTCATTGTCCTGCTCAGAGGATATTAAAGTCTTTATTGTATTACTTTTTCCAAATCAAGGAATTTGGGCACATATAACAAAAAATGGAATATACCAGGTATAATATAATATAACACACTTGTTCTTTAATAACAAAGATCTGCGCTTTTACGAGCTTTCGAACAGTACCTAAAAGTCAAAATGACCAAATATGGCATATACAAGGATTCAAGCGGTCACCCGCTATGTTCTGATGTGTTTTCTGTTATATAAGTTCTCTCTGCTTCTCTATTACATTTAATTTCTTTGCGGAATTTGTTTCAGCAAATTTTTCCTATAGTCAAGATAAGCCTGAATTTTTAAAAACTAAGAAAGGAAGTGGAATGATGGCTTTAGGTAAGAATGTTTCTCAATTTGAAGCTGTAGTTTAATTGAGATTTACTGATAGTGTGATGTATGTCTTTGTAACATTAGCAATAGCTGCCAATAATGAGTTTGGGAGCAATTCCATTTTCCTCTGTACTGATAATCCTGCACTAAATATCACACAAGTCACTGTACTGATAATCCTGCACTAAATATCACACAAGTCACTGTACTTTGCCTAATTGCACTTTAGTACATCTTCATGGAGTTTGGGCTGTTAAAGTGAAATCATTTTTGGGAAGCCAATTTTCATTGATTTCTTTGGTCAGACAAAATTACAGAATTTATAGGGGATGTGGTTTTAATAATGAATATACCATGAACAAAACATGAGTTCAAACCCAATAACAAAATATTGGTAGTAATCCACAGTCTTGTCCATGAATTATGGTATATGGTTTAAATGGCTATGAGTATACCAGGAACATGAGTTCACACTCTATAACTATAACAAAATATTGGTAGTAATCCCCAGTCTTGTCCATATATTAGGGTTCGGGTTTAAATGGCTATGAGTATACCAGGAGCTCAGTTCAGTTCAGACTCTTAAAACAAAATTTTTGGTAGTAATCCCCAGTACCATATATTTATTGATAAAGGTTTGTGGTAAAGATATGAGTTCAAACTTTTTGGTTGTGATCTTGATTGGGCTCTGTGTAATTTTCAGCATCTACTAAGAGAGTTGTTAAAGTACATCATAAACCTACAGCTTGTGATTTAAAGAATGAAGAAGCTGTTAAATTAAGTATGTATCCTGCTGGTAAACCTCGAGAAGCTAATGAACCAGAGAAAATAGAAAGAGATGACTGGCCTGGTCCTGCTTCACCTGCTGCATTATTACCAGAAATATGTAGGTTCTTTAGCATCATGTTGTATCAATAAACCAAGCACCAACGATCCGAACTGCAAATTGAAACCCAAAATCTATAACATTTCAGCTAATGAACTTTCCCTATTAAATAGTATCATTCCCACTGATTATAGCAAAATGATTTTTTGCCAATTGGACATTTTTTAACTACCTGTGATATCTGATCTCAAATTCTCAAAAAGGCCAATTATTTATACTTTGACTTAATAGAAGTAACAATTAATGCCAGTTATATTAACAGCAGTTCCTAACACTAGATCAGACCATTTTGAAAAGTAAACAATCTAATTTCTTGCCATTTGTAATATGCTAAAACCTAAAACAGTAGCTAAGCTCCTAACTGTGATTGTAATGTATGGACTTCATTATACAACTACACTTGATTGACAGCTATAGTCTCATTTGTGTCGATTGTGACTTCAAGGGAGGTAACTTTGTAGAAAAACAATAAAAAATACAAAATTGAGGCCAGACACACTTCAAGGGAGATAATTAGGTGAAATTTTACTAATTTATAATTGAAAATTAATATTTTCAATTGAAATATTCTTGTAAAATTGTAATTTTCTTGATGGAAGTCAAAAATTCATATAATAGGTTATTTTATAAGAATTGACAATGTTTTTATAAAATATAGGTCAGTATTATCTTGCTTAGATTAAGGGAGATAACAATGTTTCAATTTGTAAATGTAAACAAATGAGTACCATTTGGCCTCTTTAGACTAAGGATATTTAAATAAACACTTATAATAGCTTATTAACAGATTATTAAAGCACCTATGAGCATATGTTAATAAGTCTTAAGGGGGTCTGGGTCTGGAATATTTTAAGAAAAAGACCACCATTTCAGTTGATCTAAGACACTCCCACCTTTGGCTTCAACACTGATAAGGTTAAGAACAGTAGATTATTCAGCTTGATCTGATTTGACTCATTAGCTCAACAACATTAAGACATTAAACTTGATTTGATTTGTTCCAGTAACTCAATATTCCAAATAGGCTATTTAGCTTCATTTGACTTCTCATTAGCTCAGCAACTGTAATAGAACAGTATGATATTAGGCTTGATTTGACTGATTAGCTCAACAAGGTATAGACCATTATGAAATTTAGCTTCATTTGACTTCTCATTAGCTCAACAACTGTTATAGAACAGTATGATATTAGGCTTGATTTGACTCATTAGCTCAACAAGGTATAGAACAGTAGGACATTAAACTTGATTTGATTTGTCCCATTAGCTCAATAGTTCAAAAAGGACATTTAGCTTCATTTGACTTCTCATTAGCTCAACATTTTGATTTGATTTCGACTCCTTGTTAGCTCAATAAGTTAGGTTTTAAGCTTGATTTAAATTGATTTCTCATTAGCTCAGTGGGATATTTGACTCCTCATTAGCTCAACAAGGTATAGAACATTTGACTTCTCATTAGCTCAACAATTTGATTTGATTTTGACTCCTTATCAGCTCAATAAGGTGTATAGGATTTTAAGCTTGATTTAATTTGACTTCTCAATAGCCCAGTAAGACATTTAGCTTTGACTTCTCATTAGCTAGGTTGTTTATCAACAAGGTATAGAACATTTGACTTCTCATTAGCTCAACAATTTGATTTGATTTTGACTCCTTATCAGCTCAATAAGGTATATAGGATTTTAAGCTTGATTTAATTTGACTTCTCAATAGCCCAGTAAGACATTTAGCTTTTACTTCTCATTAGCTCGGTTGTTTATCAACAAGGTATAGAACAGGTTACTAAGCTCGATATTTCTTTGACAGTACGTGAAAGAAGAAGAAGTCGCGGAGAAGAAGATGAGGAAGATGAAGAAGGCCTATTAGTGATCAATGATCCCAAAATTAAAAGAGAATTAGAAGAAATGACCAAATTAAAAGATAAATCTGGAATAGGTTCTGTTATTTATAAGGAACTTGAAGAAAGAAAAGCATTACCAGTACAGCCATTAAACCCGTGGAAGTCATCCCGAGTACCAAGTGCCAAGTATGAACCTAGATATTGTACCCGATATCAATCTCCTATGTTTGCTTGTAAGTAAAAAAATTATTTACATGGTAAGAGAAAACCTGTCGTATTCGAATAAGCCATGATTCATAAAGGGTTTAAAGCCATAGTATATAAACCACAGAGAATTGTAGCTCCGTTGTGTCATCCTGATTTCAAGTCTGGCATCTTTGGTTGCTGTGAATCAAGACAAAGTATTCGAACAAGCCAATACAGTTGATCAATCATGATATTATGTCCACAATGTTATCCTAAGGGTTCGTGAGTAAGACTCAGGTTCAGAGTTAGATCCTTGTATTATTCAAGATAGTATCTTAACATTTTTAGACCATGTTTTCTCTGTGATGTGATGCAGGTCTGCGGAGTTGACAGTCATGGAAAAGCGTTTTGTCCAAAAGGACAATAAATTGAGGCTCCAAGTGTTACTCAGAATGGTTAGGATTGCTATAGTTAAAAAATATAAAAAGGGAATAGAATTGGCCTCTTGCATGGTGTAAAAAAGGAGACATACAACTCATTTCATTAATGTACCGTCATCCCAGCAAATAAAAATTATCTAAAAACCTTAGGATGATTTAAACTTTCGTTCATAACCAGAACTGATTGAAAAGTGGTTTCCAAGCCATTGTATGTAAAAAAAAACTTCAGTCAATATCTGTAGAAAAACTCATTGGCCTTGAATCCAAAATATGACACTCTGATTATTGTTCTTTATTTCAGCACCATCTAGATTTTTAGATTACACAAGAAGATCTTGGGATGATTGTGATATAAGAGGTTATAGATCTTTAACAACATTAGCTAATTTACCCAGTAAGTTTCTGTATGTTCTCTACAGCCCTATATACCAGGCTGAAACGCCACATAGGCAATATCGTTATTAGAAATTTCAGTGGAATTCTGGTTTTGGGTGTGGGGTGGTTTCTTTCTTAACATTGTGTTAAAATTAACTATCCTTTCATATACAGATTTATCATTATAAAATCATTCTTAGTTTTTCTTAGAATGTCAATAGAGCGAGTCCTTATTTATGATAATCATTTGGTTCATCTGATTTTAAAAATTAGACCATCACTGAATGTTATATGTCTCATTTCAGTACCTAAACCAGGATATGGACCTAGTTATGGTTTAACCCCTAGAGCTACCACTCTTCCATTGTCTGGTGCATATGGTGCTAGAGATGATTATGTAAGTATGATTTTAGTTTGAAGAAGTATCCTGTGCCGTCCCAGAAAAACGATCTTAGACCACTTTTAAATTGAATGAAAGCAGGCATTTCATTAAATTCTTAACATAGAGATCATTTGCCAGCTGTTCAGGGAAAGGATTCTCAATACAGAGGTTGTGTTGCTATAAATTTGAAATCAATCTAGTTAAAGCCCAGCTAAGCTCCTCCCATTCATTTATACAATAAAAAGATGAAAAGAAACTTGATATTGTTATATACACCATTATAATCCTGACTTTCTGACAAAATTTTAGGTCATTTGAATGTCTGTAATAATATTGATAAAGACATTAAATGATACTCTTTATAATAGTTATTATTATGTTGATACATATTCTATTTTTAGTATCATTTAGATTTTGAAGATAGGGACCAAGAGAGACCTGGTAAGATATATCACTTTTAACCCTTTGAATACTGAGTGAAAATCATATTTAATGTAATCAAAGTAATCAAAGATATCATAAAAAAACAATACATGTTAGAGTCAATTTTATTGGTTTATCATCTTCAGGAGCTAGAAACCATTGCGAAGAACAATTTCATCAGATCATGGATGTCAAGTGGAATATTGTCTTCAATGTCAAATTGTGGTCTAGGATGATCAAACAATACAAAAAAAATTGAAATTACTGAATAAAAAAACACTTTGAGCGTAAAATATAAGATGAATATGTAAATCATGTTTTTTTTTCTTCTTTGTAGATTTAAGCGTTCCAGATCATGCAAGGGTAAGTATAATACAACATTACCAAATAATATCCTTTGAAGATTATGAAATTTCTAGTATTTGGTTTAGGTGATGGAAATGACTTCTTTACTTTTGGACTAAATGTCCCTAAAACAAGTAATGAATTTGTATGAAATAAAAGATCCAAAAATTCTATTTTGCAGAATGAAGGAAGAGTACAAGAATTTGTTGAAGGGCCATCGATATCAGTACTTAAATTACAGAAAAGTACTTGGCATACTGAAGCTGAACCTAGGGTAAGAGTACCAACTTCTGGATGAAAACTTTTTGACAAACTTGACCTCTATACCAACCCCATTTAACATATTTCAGCTGTCTGATAAAGTAAAAAAAAAACAGCTATTTAAAAAAGAAAAAAAAAACAGCTGTCTGATAAAGTTAAAAGATAAGCTGTCTAGAAAGGAAACACAATTCAGTTGTCTGAAAAGTAAACACAATTCAGCTGTCTGATAAAGTTAAAAAAAATAAGCTGTCTAGAAAGGAAACACAAATCAGTTGTCTGATAAAGTTAATAAAATAAGCTGTCTAGAAAGGAAACACAATTCTGTTGTCAGGTAAAGTTAAAAAATAAGCTGTCTAGGAAGGAAACACAAATCAGTTGTCTGATAAAGTTAATAAAATAAGCTGTCTAGAAAGGAAACACAATTCAGTTGTCTGATAAAGTTAATAAAATAAGCTGTCTAGAAAGGAAACACAATTCAGTTGTCTGAAAAGTAAACACAAATTCAACTTCCTTGAGTGGCATTTAGTAATTGATGATATTAACACGAACACAATTATATGGATAACAATTACTTTAATAAATAACTT